GATTGTTACAATTCCTCTTATGTTGATGTTTTCTTTCTTTAATTTTTTTTGGCTGCGTTGGGTCTTTGTTGCTGCGCGTGGGGCTTTCTCTAGGTGTGGCGAGGGGGGGCTGCTCTTCGTTGCAGTGCGCGGACTTCTCATTGCGGTGGTTTCTCTTGTTGCAGAGCATGGGCTCTAGGCACGTGGGCTTCAGTAGTTGTGGCACCCGGGCTCAGTAGTTGTGGCTCGCGGGCTCTAGAGCGCAGGCTCAGTAGTTGTGGCGCACGGGCTTTGTTGCTCCGTGGCTTGTGGGATCTTCCCGGACCAGGGCTCGAACCTGTGTCCCCAGCATTGGCAGGCGGATTCGTAACCGCTGCGCCACCAGGGAAGCCCCTCTTTCTTTTTGTGGGTGTGTTTTTGTGCTCTTTTTCTGGGCTTTATGTGGCGATGGTGCTTGGCTGTCCGCGTAGTGTGTACGTGTGCACCTGTATCCTTTTGCGTCTGGTAGTTTTGTTTGTTTTTATACTGCAGGTTCTTATTAGTCATCAATTTTATACACATCGGTGTATACATGTTTTTTTTTTACTAATTGGGTTTCACGGCCCGGCGAGGACGCCCCTTCCCTGTTAGATGCAGCCCGAGGGCCTGCCAGGTGGGAACCGCCTTCCTTCCCTCACAGCACCTGCACGAGGTTGGGTCCGTGGTGGAGGCTCAGCAGTGCCTGCCGGACCAGATGGAAAAGCGTCAGGAGCCCCCGTACAGTGCGGCCCGGGCACGCTCCCCCCTGGGGGTCTCTCGAGTATAGACACGTGGGTGAAGGTACAAAGGCCCCGCGGTGCGCCTGGCTCTGGGACTCGGAATAGCGCTCAGAGCTGGGCCTTGAAGCTGGCGCCCAGCCGTCCCAGGACTCAGGGGCCCCCGCTGTGGTGATAGTGCCCCCGGTGTCAGTGTGTGCTGTGTTTGTTGTGGGAGGGTGGGTGTGGCTGGACATCCTGCGTTGGAGCATCCCCGTTGCTGTCCATGGTCGTGGACCCAGTACTCCAGCTCCCAGCACGTGGTCAGATTGGTGGCCAGTGTGCATTTGGTCACCCCCAGAACGGGGACTCACAACTGCTCACAGCTGCCTGTTCCCTCTTGGGTCCTGGTTGTTAGAGGTGATTTTGGTTCTTAAATGGGGGTTCAGGGAGGGGACGTTGACCCTTCCCACACAGCTGTGACACACAGTAGAGTCCCAGACGCTGAGCCCGGGAAGGTGATCTGGGGGCTGAGGAGGGATGTACGTGTGTGCATGTGTGTCAGTCTCGGGTATGTGCGTGTGTGCAGGTCTGCGCCCTGATGTGCACACGCACATGGGTGTGCACACGCGTCTGTGTGTGCGTGTGAGGTCGCAGGAGCTGTTCCTTGCGACACAGCGGTCAGGCTTCAGCGGGTAAGCCCAGCGCCTAGAGGGGAGGGTCTGTTGCTGCACAGCTCGGTTCCCAGCTCCGAACTCCACAGCATCCTCTCGGAGCTTCTTCCCCGTCCGCATGTGGCCCTGGGCCCTCGTTCCCAGAAACTTGTTGGAGAGACCGGAGGGTCACGGGCCGTGCAGCTCCCTTCTCCGGGACCGGAAGGGGCCTGATGTCCCCGGAGCTCCCGCCGGCACCTCCAGGTCAGGTCCCGGCCCCTGGCAGCGGGGTGGGAGCAGCACAGACACAGACCACGAACGCTGGGCACGGAAGCTTTGCTGCCAGGGGTTGATTGTGCGCCGCTGGGGATGTGGCCTCAGGCCCACTTGTGTGGTGGCGCCTTTGGGCCTGTGGGTCCCTGCTGCCTTGTGGTGAGTGAGTTCAAGGATCCTTCCTTGGGAGCGTGTTTTGCAGGTAGATGTGGGGAGCCCCGGTGTGCGAGAGTCCAGAAGGAGGCGCCGCGGCCTGGGCGTCAGCACCGGGGGACTGCCGCCCGACCGCCCGCTGTGTCCTGAGGGTGCGCCCTCCCTGCTGGGCCGCAGGCCTCAGGCCCCGTGGCTGCTTGGGGGCTTGTCGAGGTGCGGCCCTGGGGCCCTCCACTGGTCCAAAGGGCTCAGAACCTCTTTCTTCCCCTGTGGAATGGGGGCAGGGAGCTGGTAGGATGTGGCCCCGCGTCACAGGGACCCCGAGGCCCCACCCGAGGGGTGAGGGGTGGGCTTGGCCCTCTGCGGCAGGTGGGCTCCCCATGCCTCCCTGGACGAGGTAAATGGGGTAGACGCGCGTGTTCGCAGTTTGCTGCCAGGCCCCAGGCACACTTGTATTTCCTGAAGGCGTGGCTGCTTTGCAACCCCCGTGAGGTGCTGGGCCTTTCAGGAGGCCCCTCCGCTGGGGGCTGCATGGCCGCGCCTGGCCTCTCCATCCACCCTTCTTTACTCAGAGCCCAGAGCTCGGAGGGGCGGCTCCTGCAAGACCCAGAGGTGACACCTGTGGCCAGTCCTCGGGGGCCCTGAGGCTGGTGAAGAGAGCGGCCTGGGGCAGATGCTCATGCTCTGGGCACCCTGCCTTCAGGAGTGCTGGCTGCCTGTCCCCCTCCTGATGGCCGAGGTCACAGGTTCCCAGGGACCTGGCGGCACCGTCTAGGCAGCAGGGTGTGTGCGGACCCCCCAGGCCGTTGTGTGACTGGGGAGGTGAGGGTGTGCGGCCTCCCGTCAGGGACGCCCTGGAGTCGGTTGGGGTCCGGGCCTCCCACCTCCACCTCACTTTTCATCCAGACTCAGAGAGGCGTCCCGCAGGCTTCAGCCTGAGGTGTCCTCGCCGGACACTGCAGCGTCTGCCGTGACCCAGCTCCCACACAGCCGCACACCGCGTTGGGGCTCGCTCCACTGCTCCGCCCTGGCATCCGTCCTGGACGCCGGGTCACCGAGCGGCCACGTGTCCACGTGCCCAGGGCCCCGTGCGTCCTGGGCCCAGGGTGGAAGGGATGAGATCAAGGCCACGTGTGGATGCTGCCCTGTGGCTCTTGGCCTCCGTGGCCTCTGGGGGCGCCTGGAGGGGGCTGAGCTTGGCAGGCGTCCTTGGGCGGGGGAAGAGACTAGCCAACAGCCTGTGCTGGTGTCCAGCAACTTTAAGACGCTCCTGGCTCCGCCCCTCCTGGGGCCCCACTGTGGCCAGGAGCCCTCGGTGATGTGGTGACGTGGTGGGTGCTGAGGCCTCCACAGGGTGAGATGTGGGGACAGTCACCGGGCGTCACCTCCTTGAGGGCATCGGTGAGGTCAGGACCTGCTGAGACAGCCCTGAAACTGCCCCCAGGACTCCGTGGGCGCCGAGGGTCGTGACGGGCGTGTGAGAGTAGCACCGTCCTCCCCCAGGCGGTGGGCAGGCAGCGCACAGGCTTGGCTGGTGTCCAGGTGGTGGACAGATAGCTGGTGCCTGCTGCGCTCTGAGGGCTGGAGGGTTAGCTGGGGATGGGATATGGGCCCGAGTGACAGCCCAGAACCACAGCCGCTGCATGTCCCAGATGGGATGTGCTGGCAGTGCTGGGGGAAGAAGCAACACGTCCTGGACCAGGGGAGGGCAGCCGGGTACAGGGGAGGGTCATGGGGCAGTGAGGTGCTGAGCTGGGGGTGGGGGAAAGGAGACAGGGCGGCGTCTGTACCTGGCATCTGGAGCCTGGCTGTCCCAGCGCTGCCACCACTGGCTCCAGGCCCCAGGGGACTGGCCGAGGCCACCCTGAAGCTCCCCTGGGTGCTGACGGGCCCTCATCCCTCTCCCCGCTCGGTGAGGCCCGGGAATGTGGCCTGGAGTTTGCAGTTGGGGGCCGTGTGCTGGCAGGCTGGTCGGCAGGGCAGGGCAGGAGGTGCACCTCCCTGGTGGTCGAGGTCCCAGCTCCCCCATCCTCCTGCAGGAGGGGGACTTCAGCCACATCCTTCCTTTCCCATTAGCCCTGAGGGAGGCTGAGGCTGGGCCTGGGTGGCCCCCCCAGGGACCATGTCATGGGCCTCCTTCTGGAAGGCGGCAGAAAGGACAGGCTGGCAGGTGGCATCCTCGGCCGGTGGGGTCAGATTGGTCAGAGGGGCGGGTGGGCCAGTGGCTCCTACGAAGGGTTCTAAAGCGGGGTAACGCACCCCAGGTCACAACTCTTCTCTCGTGGAGACTTTTGCTTGCCCAGCCCTGCCACGGTTGAGCTCACGAGATCCAGCTTCTCCATAGAGGAAGGGTCTGGAACACTGCGTGGGGGGCAGACAACGGAGAGCTCACGAGATCCAGCTTCTCCATAGAGGAAGGGTCTGGAACACTGCGTGGGGGGCAGACACGGAGAGCGAGGCAGGGGCTTGGCCTTACCCTGATGACCTGCCACCTGGGCACAGCCCAGCAGGTGATTCTTGTCAGCTTTTAAAGGCCTGTGGCGACTGGGAACAGCAGGGGCCCGTGGCACTGATGGTGGCCCGAGACCACCGTCCCTGGGTGGATGTTTCATAGGGCCAGGTGCCGGCCTGGGGGCTGAGGGCACACACTGGGGCACCAGGTAGGCTGCCCGGGGAGGCAGAGGCACGCCTCGAGCCAGCAGTGGGGAGAGCGGCTGCAGCACGGGGACCGGGGTGGGGATAGTGGGGCTTCACCCCGATGGCATCCAAAAGGCCACCTGTAGGCCACCACGGCCACCTCTGGGCCCTAGCACCAGCCCCATTCAGACTACCCCGGCCGGGGAAGCTCAGGACGGTGCCCAGCCTGCCGGCCTCAGGTGGACCCCGTCCCAGGACGAGGAGGTGAGCGCCGCAGCCCAGCAAACCTTGGCCTGAGCTTGTTGCAGGGTAGGTGGCCAGGCCGGCAAGTGAGGGCACAGGTTGAGGGGAACAGGGTCCAGGGGGCGGGCAGGACCAGCAGGGGCTGCAGCCCAGCCCACCCCAGACGCGGAAACGGCCTCTGCGGGGCCCCGAGGCCAGCTGCTCTCTGAGCCGGAGCTGCCTGGGGACGGACACGTGCCCGCGGACCTCGAGCGGAGGATGGTCCGGTGGCCGCGCTCCGGCCCTCTGCCTTTAGTATTCACTGAAGGAGACGCACCAGCCAGGTCGCTGGAGATGCTTTGAGACATTTTATTTAAATTGTTTTTAAAGACAGCAATAATTTATGCCACGAGCCAAACGAGGGCGCCGATGAGCGTCTTGTGAACCGCCTGGTCGCTGCCCCGGCCCCGCGCTCTGCCACTGCCGGGGCGGCCCTGCTGGGGGCGCGAGGTGGTCGGCTTTGGACCAGGGACAGCAGGGCCGAGGCCAAGACCCAGGCGGGAGGCCAGGAGCAGACACAGCGCCACTGCAAGTGGCCGGGCGTTGTGATTTCTTCCCGTGATTATCCCAGTGACCCTGGGGAACGGCAAGGTGACCTGGGGACGTGGCCACCTCGGTCCCCGCACACAGCGATTGCCCCGTCTCTCCTCTCCTCCCCCTACCAATCCCACAACCGTTCGTTTTTTATTGTTTTTTTAAAAAATATAATTTTGTAAATATTCCATAAAAATACTATTATTCCTAGTCAAACACAGATATTGCAATATGAAGGGTAACTGCTCTGTCTTTGCTCTAGAAAATGTGAAAAGGTCATCACACCGGATAATATAGAAAAGTGTGGAACCTCTAGGTATCACAAAAGCCAGTACCGAGCACGCGACGGGGAAGCGTTTCCAGGTGCTGGGCCGGGGCCCCCTCCGCGCTTCCCTGCTCAGTGCTGGGGCCTGTGGATGCGGCAGGGACTGAAGGGTCCTCTCTGCAGGGAGGACATCATGGCTTTGAGACACAGTGGCCACACTCCATCCCAGTGGCCGGCCCCCCGAGGCCACCTGCTCAGCCCGACAGGGACGCGGCCTCTCCTTCTGCAGCAGTGAGGCTCCACCTGGCCCTCAAGGCGCCTTCCCAGGCAGGCCTGGGCCAAGGAGCTGGCGGGGCGTGCTGCTGGCGGGGCATGTCCCTTGGGGCGGGAGGCATGGGCCAGTGGCCGCGCCTTCAGTTCTCGGAGAGAGACAGGGCCAGGGCAGCCTGGAAGGCGGCCTCCTCATCGATGCTGTAGTCCTGGAAGACAGGGAGTGGAGCTGGGCCGGGGACGCCAGGGCCTCCCAGGGCGACCCCCCCCGGCCCTGGTCCTGTCACCTCAAATGGACCGGCTCTGCCGCGTCCAGCCTCCCCGCCCCCCTTCAGCCCCACACGGTCACGGGGTCCCGGGCGCTGTGCGGCAACGCTGCGGGGATGGTCTGGCTGCCCGGAGGCCACCGCGCCCAGTGACTGAGGGCTGGGTGGACTGCGTGGGCTGGACGCCCGGAATCGGAGCTGTCCTTTCCCCTCAGACTCAAGAACGGGGCTTGAGATGAGCAGAGAAGCCAGGGATCCCCGTGGCATCCACCCATCGGGACCAGGCACAGGCGGAGGGAGCGGAGGGGTCGACTCCACAGGGTCTGGCGCCTGGAGGCTGGAGGCTGGCGGGGGATGAGAATAGCAGGGCTGGGGGGCGCACGGGAGGGAAGGGCCTGCAGGAGGGTCTGCAGGTGGGGACCGCAGGTGGGAGAGGGAGAGGAAGAGACGGAGGTTTTCCCGGCGAAGAAGTCCCCGTGGCTCTTCCCCGCGGAAAGGGCCTGTCCCCCGTGGAGGGGTCTGTGTGCCGAGGCCCCGGTGCAGAGCTGGGGAGATGGTGGCCCTGCGACGGCACCTCCCCAAGAGGAGGCCCCGCGTGAGGAGAGCTCGCTGGCCCAGCGGTGAGGGACCCGCAGGACAGGGGGCCGCTGTGGGCCTGGTCTGCACAGCCCCAGAGCCCCTGGGCCTCTAGTGGCCACGTGGACCTACCCAGCACCGGCACCGGAGGAGGGGGAGGGGAGGGAAGGGGAGGGCACCCACCACGAAGGTGTCGTAGGAGAACTTGTGCCGGTGGAGCAGGTGCTGCAGGAAGTTGGCGCTCTTGTAGCTCGGGTCGCCCCAGGGCATGGCCGAGCAGATGGGACACACCTGGGACAGAGCAGGCCAGTGAGCCTACAGGGCCCGGGAGGGCCGGGCAAGCGGGGCCGGGCGGGCGTGCGGGCGGGCGTGCGGGCGGGCGGGCGTGCTCACCACGCGGCTGGGGTCGCTGCGGTGGCTGTCCACGCAGTGCTTCACCAACTCCTGCTGGTCCAGGTTGCGGGCACCACAGTAAGGGCAGGCGAAGGTGGACCTGTTGGGGACGGCGCTGGGGCGGGGGTGGGGGTGAGTGGCGCTGCCCACCTTCCTACAGCCCGGCCGGCTCGCCCTCCCCTGCCCTGTGGGCCATAGCTGCCGCGGGGCCCTGCCCCCATCTGCACATCCCACTGCGACCTCCCGCCACCTAACCCCGGGCCCCCTGCTTCCCCGACACGGCTGCCCACCCTGAGAGGAGGTGTCTGTCCAGCCCCAGCCTATCTGGGGACTGTGCGTCCTTGCTGGGAGGTGAGCCGTGGGGGCCTGGCTTGGGCCCTCCTGGGGTCCCCTACCCACAGGGGGCGAGGCCCTCCGCCGGCAGCCCTCCCACCTCCTCAGGGTGGGGCCCCACTGCCCACCCCACGAGGTAGGCCTGGAGCTGCCCCACAGAGGGGGCCCCGGCGAGGCGGCCTACCTGGGGATGGGCTGGGACGTGGGCACCACAGGGACGAACTTGGGACAGTTGGCCATCTGCTCCTGGACCTTCATGCAGGAGGCAACGTGCACCCTCATCTTGGCCAGTGTCACCTGGGGAGGAGAGGAGGGGAGGGGCCGGGCAGCAGGGCTGGGCCTCTGGCTCCCGATGCCCCGGCCCGGCAGCACTGCAGAAGTGGGGCCCAGAGGCCGAGTGAGGGAGACACAGACTCAGGACCCCGAAGGCTGCAGATCCGCACCCAGAAGCAGGCGCTCACGGCTTCACGATGGGGCCATGCGGGGGGCAGTAGGCCTCTGGTCCCTGGGGAGCTGCAGGTGAGGGGCGGCCCACGAGGGGACAGGGAGGGTGTCTAATTGGGAAAAAATACCCCTTGTAACGGGAGCCAGCAGGCAAAATTCTGGACAGTCGAACGTCCAGCAAACTCTTTACCAAGAGGTAGGAAACGGAACAAGATACAGCCTTCTCGGCTGCCCGAGTGGCCGTCCTGGCCGAAGGTGGGAAGCGGCTCAGCACAGGGCAGGGGAGGGGTGCCGGCGCAGAGAGTAGGCGGAACGACCCGGGGAGGACGCCCGGCAGCCCTCCCGGTGGCGGTGGCGCACACAGGAACCTAGTTCCCAGAACTGCGGAGGCCGAGAGGGAGCAGGCGGGGCAGCTCCGCCTCGAGGGGCCCTCCTGACGCCGGCCCGCCCCCGGCTCTGCCCAGGGCTGGGACACTGAGCAAGCCTGCCACCCGGGCCCGCACGAGGCCAAGAGTGGGGGCCGCCTCACACAAGAGCCAACAGCCTGCTCCGCTCTCATGCCGGGAGGGAGGGGCACGTGAGCCTGCAGGAGGCCGCGCCAGCCCCTCACAGTGGGCTCACGGTGGCCCCTGGACAGTCTGACCTTCGACCTTGAGGACAAAGCAGCAGGGCTGCTGCCTGCTGTGATAACTCAGAAGAACTCGTTGACCCGAGCGATGGCAAAATCTGAAAGCCTAAGTTCAAACTCCGTTCCTGGGCTGGGTCCCCCACAAAGTGGTGTGCCCGCCTGAGCGGGCAGCGGGTGCCGGGACAGGGTGGGCTCAGCTCAGCCTGTGTCCCTGCGCCAGCCACAGCCCGGAGCCCAGGCCACACGCAGGGCCCGCAGGAAGCGGGTGGAGCGGCGGGCTGCCCAACAGGGAAGGGACGTGGCCCCTGCCCAGCTCCCCTGCGAGCCCATCGGAGCCCCCCGGGCCAGGGAGGCTGCGGTACCTTCTTACTGCAGCCCCGGCAGGGTGCCTTGTAGGACGAAAGCTGCTTCTCCACGTGAGCGGCCTTGTCCACTTTCTTGGGGTCGAAGGGCAGGCGGCACAGTGGGCACAGGGGGGATGGCACCTGCAGACACGGCTGGAGGCACTCCCCGCAGAACCTGCCGGGCAGACATGGGCCTGAGGGCTGCGCTCCCCTCCGTCAGCAGTAGCTTCTGGGCCAGGGTCCTAGGGGTTGAATGGGCACCGTCTGTCCAGAAGATGACCCAGGTCGCTGCCCAGCTGTGGGCTTCTGGGACACTCCTGCCGATCCTGCGATGAGGGCTGAGCTGCAGCTGTGACCCCCGCCCCCCCAGGTCCCATGCTGGCCCCGCAGCCCTGGTCCCAGCAAGAGCTCTGGCTACAGGAGGCCCAGAGCCCAACCTGTCCGTCTCACTGCCAAGCGGTGATGATGCCACCTCAGGGGACTCCAGGACATCATGGGGGACCCTGGAGACCCTCTACCCACGAAACTCTGGGGAGTAAAATCACTAACAGTGGTGAGAGGAAACCGCAGGGCCCCAGGGCCCAGGACTCATTGGATGGAGCAGGGCCAAAGCTGGCCAGGGAGTGTCACCAGCCTTGGGACAGTGCCCTCTCCCCAGGCAAGAAGGGCTCTGGCTCGGCCTGAGCAGAGGCGTAGTGGCAGAAGGGCTGCGCCCCTCTCGGCCCTGAGCTCTTGGCCGTGTCCGTGGAGACGCCATGTCGTGAGGTACAGGTCCCGGCACCCCGTGTGTGCTTGGCCCCGGCAGCTGGTGTTTACAAACACCCCAGTGCCGCAGAAGAACGCGCACTGCCCGGTGGGCAGTGGGGCAGCGGGTCGAACACTCTCAGTGGGGGCACGAAGGGCCAGGAGCCTGACCGCAGGACCAGCTCGGTCCACCTTTGCAGGAAGCGCCAAGGGGACCGCTTAGCAGACGGGAGCCGTGGAGTGGAGGCTCCACGGCCCAGAAGAGCACACGCTCGGCCCCAAGAGAAAGGCGGCAACTTGGCGGCCTGCAAGAAACCCATGAGGTGTCGGGGTGTGCACCGCTCTGCGTGCGTCTAGCCGGCTGGGCCTGCGGCTCACCTGAGCTCAGGGGTCCCTGTTCTTTTGCCTCAGACTTTCACCTCATTTTAGGAAGAGGCAGCCGCAGGTGATCCCGAGGCCCTCCTCCTACACGCTGGCTTCCGAACAGCCACCACTGGGTCGTCACCGTGGGTGTCACTGTTTGCACACAAGAAAGGCCAGGCTGGGCCTGAGGCCCATCAGAAAGTGCAGGGTTCCTGACACCCTGTTCCTGCGCACCTGTCACTGTCCGCACCTGTCGAGGGCCCACCAGGCACTACCAGCAGCGCCCACCCCGTAGTGCTCCAGCACGTCCTCCAGGGCCGTCCCTCTCACTGGCCTCACAGCCGGGGCAGGCCTCGCGTGCCACCCTGGCGCTGGAAGAAAGTGCTGGCTCCATGGCCCCCACGGGGAGGCCAGGGGAAAAGCCGCACAGGAGTGCTCACGGCAGCACCGGTCACGAGAGCTGTGGAGACAGCCCAGTGTCCGCTGACGGGCGAGGGACACAGAGGAGGTGGCCGATCCTTATGATGGGACACCCCTCAGCCCAGAGGGAGCACGGCGCAGCTGGATGCTGGCGCTCAGAGGACCCCGAAGACGTGCTCCGTTCAGGACAGAGGTACGGAGGCTGGAGGCAGCCCCGGCAGAACCAAACACTGGCCCTCAGGGAGGCCTCATCAGAGGGTCGGAAACAGCTGGACAGGGCTTCCCTGGTGGCGCTGTGGTTAAGAGTCACCTGCCAATGCAGGGGATGTGGGTTCGAGCCCTGGTCCGGGAAGATGCTGCAGAGCAACTACACCTGTGCGCCACAACTACTGAGCCCACGTGCCATAACTACTGAAGCCCACGTGCCTAGAGCCCATGCTCCGCAACAAGAGAAGCCACCGCAACGAGAAGCCCACGCACCGTGACGAAGAGTAGCCCCTGCCCGCTACAACTGGAGAAAGCCCGCGTGCAGCAATGAAGACCCAACGCAGCCAAAAATGAATAAAATAAATAAATTAAAAAAAAAAAAAAAGAAGAAGCCATAAAAGGCTGAAATCCTTTATAAAAAAAAAAAAAAAAGGAAACAGCCGGGAAGCTTCTGGTTCCGGATGTGGCTCACCGCCCAGGCCGTCCCCTGAGTATGACAGGTCACTGGCTCTGTCTGGGGCCCTGGGGACTTCACGGGAGCGCTTCCACACTCTCCACAGAGGCACCTCCTGCCTCTGGGCTCCTGCTCAAAAGCCCTCCCTACGACCTGTCCCCTTCTGTCTCATGCTGGAGCATGAGTCCCGGCCCCTGGCAGGGCTGCTGTCACCTCCAGAAAACCTATTTTGTGAAAGGAGACTGCTACAGTTAGGGAGCTGGGGGTGGGGGCGAGGGGTGGATAACCAGACCACCGACAAACTTTTTAGGAGAGATGTGAGTCTTCAAATCTTTCATGTTCATTTGCACACATGCCTTCAAAACACCGGAAAAGAAACTTATGGAAAGTAAGAGGCAGAGATGGAACAGCCAGGAGGTTTGTTTACACCAGCAGGTAGAGCCAGGGAGAAGGTCTTTTTAAGGCAGAAGCTGAAGAAGAGGCTCTTGCAGGACCAGCCTCAGAAACAGGAGAAGAGGGGACAGATTCTGCCAAGAAGAGCACGGGGAAGCGGGGTTTATAGAAGAATATGCTTGCACAGCAGTTTGTGTATTTCTGTATTCTGAAAACCACCTTTTAAGAAAAGACTTATTTGGAAAAATAGAAACCAGATTCGTGCTGACCAGAGGCCCGAAACACCACAGCCCAGGGTTGGGTGAGTGTTGATACAACCCGAAGCCCGGGAAAGGCTTTCTAAAGTTGGGCCTGGGACAATCGCTACAGCTCTCCCAGGGATGGGCTGGAAGAAGCTGAACACACTTGACAACACCCACTGCTGTGTGCTGACAAGAGAAGTGCTGTGCAGGGGCTGCCTCTGCCAAAACGCCACACACAGCATGAAAGAGTGAGGCACAGCGCCTTCAGGACAAATCAGCAGTGCTCTCCCAGTGTGGGCAGGTAGGTCCCTGTGCTGCCTGCCAGTGTGTGTGTGTGTGTGTGTGTGTGTGTGTGTGTGTGTGAAGGCTTGCTAGCTCCGGACACGGTTCCTGCCACCTCCCTGGGTGAGTGAGCTGAGCAGCACACACACCCAGCGGCTGCAACTCCCTCTTTGTATCAGGAACCTTCCAGGTCATCTGCCTTTGTTTGCAAAACGTTCAAAGACCGAGCCTGGGTGAATCTCGGCCCCACCTCCTCAGCAGCTCCGCTGGCAGCCAAGCCCTCCTGCCCCCTCTCCCCACCCTGCTAATTTCACTCAAGAGCTGTATTTTTCAGCCACTCCAGAGAGTTGGAGAGCCAACACCCTGATCTCAGCCCCCTCCCAAACAGGCTGGCAGCTCCCAGAAGCCTTGAGTGCAGCACTTGGCTGGGAGGAGAGCCACATCCGCAGGTTTCTGTTCCTGAAACAACCCGGCCCTGGCACAGCCGGAAACCCTAGCAAGATGTGTGGCATCTGGTCCCCCGAGGGCTAGCCTGCCTGGCTGCTTAGTGATCGATGTGACCCAAGTTCTCCAACAGAACAAAACAGCACCAGACTCCAAACAAGCCCCTGCCCAAACTTTAGGGAACTCCTCTCTTCTGCAGTCAAAACAAGCAGACAGCGGGTCCAAAACAGAGTTGACGGCAAAAGGCACAAGGCATTTATTTACAACTGCCCACCGCAGTCTCCACGGGACCAGATGGAAGGCGACCGGCGCAGAGGTCGTGCCCGCTGCCCTGTGAGTCCCCGGGGAGGCTCATCTATGCCGTCAGCGGCCCCGGGCACTGCCCGTTAGAGATCGGGCAGGGCTGCAGGTCGGTCCTGTCTGCCGACGGGGTGATCGGATCGAGAGCCCGGGGCGGGCGGACGGGCGGGCAGGAGGCTGGGCTGAGGGGGATGGACGCGCCCAGAGGGCAGAAACGGCCCTGCGCGGGGAGACCCGCGCCCCCCGAGTCCTCGCGCGCCGAGGCGGCTGCAGAGCGCTCCCCGCGGCGTCGCCCGACCCCGCGGCCTCCCGGAGGCCGGCGCACTCACGTGTGTCCGCAGCTGCCGATGGCCACGGGCCGATGGTAGACTTCCAGGCAGATGGGGCAGCTGTACTGCGCCTCCAGGCCGCTGTCGCCGCCCGCGGGCCCGCCCGGCGGCTGCCGCTGCTGAGCCGAGGCCACCAGGCTGCGGAACATCGCCATCCCCGGGGCCCGGCCCGCCGCCGCCGCCCCTGTCCCGGCCAGGCCCGGCCCGGCCCGGCCTGCGCGTCACGGCCGCGCCGGCTCCGAGTTGACGTCATAGGGAGCGCCCGCCCCCGGCCTACGCGTCATGGCCGCGCCGGCGCCGGGATGACGTCATAGGGAGCGCCCGCCCCTCGCCCGCGCGTCACGGCCGCGCCGGCGCCTTGATGATGTAGCTGGGGCGCGCCGCCGCCGCCGCCGCCGCCGCCCGCCGCCGCCGCCGCCGCCGCCGCCGCCGCCGCCGCCGCCGCCGCCGCCGCCGCCGCCGCCGCCGCCGCCGCCGCCGCCGCCGCCGCCGCCGCCGCCGCCGCCGCCGCCGCCGCCGCCCCGTGATACGGAGCAGATGTGCGAGGTGGGCGAGGACTATCGGGAGCCCGCGCCCGCGGGGCCGCCGCCGCCACGGCCCTGGTAAGAGTTGGACGGCCGCACCCGCCGCTTTCTTTCCGGCGCTCCCGCCGACGGCGAGCCCTGCCCCGAGGGGCCGGCCCGCGCTTTACGCTCAGGGCCCCGGGAAGCCAGGAGACCGCCGAGGGCGGGTCCCAGGAGCCCCGGAACCTCAGGTCGGGGGTGGACCTCACTCCGCAGCACTCGGAGAGTGCCTGGCAAGCCCGTGGTAAACACTGTGCGCTCTCGCACCTCTAATTCTTGCAGCCGGTGGGACGGCTTCGCCCCTGACCAAGCTGTCCTTACAGGGAGGCGAGGAAAGTCGGCCTCCCTGTCTCTTCTACTCACTGGCTCCACTTCTCCCTTCCAGGGCCGCAGAGAGCGAGTTGGCTCTGTTCTTGTGCCAGCCCCTGAGAGATTGAGCCCACTGAGGTGGCTTTAACAGACTGAAATCTCCCTAGGGCCCTGGTCTTTCCCCACAGTGGTAGTTTGGATAAGATACAAGCCGTGGTTTGTGTGGTTTCCCCCCCGCCCCGGGCCCCAGTGACCTCTCGTACAACAGTTTGGGGTGAGAAACAGGCTATGGTCTCCCTGAAGCCCCCGGGAGAGGGTCGTAACCTGTGTTCCTGTTCTCTCTTCCCCCCACCCCCCCGCCCACGTCTCAAGCCGTGAGCAAAAGTGTGTGAAGTGCAAGGAAGGCCTGCCTGTCGTGGTGATCCGAGCCGGAGATGCTTTCTGCAGGTGAGGCATGGAGGTGGCAGGCGACCTGGTACACACGGTTTCACTCAGTAACCAGTACTGCCCCCGTATCTGTGGCTTTGTTTTTTTTTAAAAAATATATTTTATTTTTTATTTATTTTTTGCTGTGTTGGGTCTTTGTTGCTGCGCACGGGCTTTCTCTAGTTGCGGTGAGTGGGGGCTGCTCTTCATTGCGGTGTGCAGGCTTCTCATTGCGGTGGCTTCTCTTGTTGCAGAGCACGGGCTCTAGGTGCGCGGGCTTCAGTAGTTATGGCTCACGGGCTCTAGAGCGCAGGCTCGGTAGTTGTGGCACACGGGCTTAGCTGCTCCGCTGCATGTGGGATCTTCCCGGACCAGGGCTTGAACCTGTGTCCCCTGCATTGGCAGGCGGATTCACCACTGCGCCACCATGGAAACCTTGTGGCTTTGTTTCTTGCTTTTGAAAGCATCTTACCACTTTACTCCTGCTTCTAACATCCTGCTGGCATGTCTGTGTGTGTGCAGGTTTCTTGTGTGAGTGCCATTCTCCCATCATCCAGCCATTGGTCAGGTGGCAGGAAGGTATTGATGGAGCTTACGGGGAGAGTTGGGAGTGAACGTGGAGCGTGGTGTGTGGGAGGAGCTCTTTGGGGCAGCTGGAACGCATATAGGGGCAGATTGGAGCATCCTGGGGTCTCTGGCAGGTGGTTCTTCATGATGCTGTTTGACTTGCGAGAGAGAGAGAGGGATGGAAGGCGGGCTGTAGTCTTCTCCTCCCAGCTCTGGGAGGACCTTTGGACAGCAGGGGCTTATTCCCAGAGAGGCCTGAGCATATTCGGTTTTATCTGAAGCTCTCTGTGGCCCTGTCACATCGCCCTTGAATCATAACTTCCAATGTCTGATCACGTTCACTGGATTCATAGCTCCACAAGGGCAGGGCCTGTCTCTCGTTTTATACCTATGAATTTCTGGTGACATTGCATGCTTTGTATAGCGAATGAACGCATGTTGAATGAGTGATGGGCTCACATTTTTAAATTGGTCTTCCAGAGTACTGGACTCTGCTTTCTAAAAGTTTCCGAAAGAGAAACCGAAGGGACGGAATAAGTTGTTTTCCCCAGACTCTCTCATACTTGCCCATCTTTGGGGGGGGCGCCTAGTAGACTTGGTGTGTGCCATCAGGAAAAACGTTTTAGGCAAGGAAGTCACTGCTTTAAGCACGTAAGAGCATCTAGAAACAATGATCTCTCCAGTCTGTTTGGAGAACTCACAGATAAGAAGAGAGGCCGCAGCGACTCCTTCTGGGCCCAGAACTCCCCCTCCCCCGCTTGCTGAGTCCCGGGAAGAGACGGGAGGCTGATCTTCCAGGTTGCAGGTTCTGCAAGCTAGGTTTTGAGCAAGTTTCCTCAGTGACGGAGAGGCTCAGCATGTCGGAAACCCTGGCCTGGCCCGACCCACAGGGCGCATGTGGCTTCAGGAGCCTAGTGGTGCTGGGGAGACATGGGTGCAGCAGCCACGGGGTCCTCTGTGCCGCCGTGAGCATCTGTGTCTGCTTGAGGAGCCTCCCCGGGCCCTGACCTTCCAGGAGTCACTCCCATGGCTGGTCTTCTGGGGTCCCTGGAGCCCCAGTGATTTGCTGCTAAAACCGAGTTGAGTTACCATCCACAGAGGTGCCTCGGGGTGTTTGGTCGGCATTTCGTAAGTGGTGCCTGCTCGGGGTTGGGGGGACTGCTGTGATACCAGCACGTGCATACAGGAAGAAGGAAATAGATATGGGGGCAGAGCCCCATGCTTGGGGCCGCTCTGCTCCCTGCTGCGCCGGGCACTGTTGTCCACCTTGGCTGCCTGCTGGGGAGCGAGCTTGCTCTCTCTCTCTCTCTCTCTCTCTTCCTTCCTTTTCCTCCTTTCCCTTTCTTCCCTTTTTTCCTTTCCTTCCTTCTTTTCTGTCTCTCCGTCTTTCTCCCTCTCTTTTTTTCTCTCTCCCTTCTGTTTCTCCTTTCTTTCCTTCCCATCTTTCTGTCTTTTCGTCTCTCTCTCTCTCCTTTCTTTTCTTTCTTCTTTTTTCCTTTTTTTTTTTACACTTCTTTCTTTTTTTTATATTCAGCATTTGTTAATTTATCTTGGCCGTGCTGGGTCTTAGTTGCAGCATGCGGGATCTTTGTTACAGCACGCAGACTTCCTGGTTGTGGCATGTGGACTTCTTAGTTGCCACATGTGGATTCTTAGTTGCGGCATGTGGGATCTAGTTCCCCGACCAGGGATCGAACCTAGGCCCCCGACATTGGGAGCGTGGAGTCTTACCCACTGGACCACCAGGGAAGTCCTCGTTTCTTTGTTTCTTTTTTCCCTCCCTCCCTCTTCTCCCTTCCCTTCCCTTCCCTTCCCTTCCTTCCTTCCCTTCTTCTCATCCCTTGCGGCTTGCGGGATCTTAGTTCCCCAACTGGGCGTGGAACCCGGGCCACGGCAGTGAGAGCGCCGAGTCCTAACTGCTGGACCGCCGGGGAGCTGCCCTGGGGAGCTTTTAAACGTGGGTGCCTGGGTCTCACCTAATACATCCTGACGTGGTCGGCCTGAGTGATTCTCATGTGCGGCCAAGGCTAAGAACCTCTGACCTGGTGAGCCCCAGGCTCAGCTGGAAGGCTGGCCAAGAATGCAGAGTCCCAGGCCCTGTTGAAGTTATGGTTCTCCGCGTTTGTGGGAGCCTCCTGGGCATTTCTGGAGGCCAGTGTGGGGCTTTAGGATGCTAGTCTCCTGACCCCACAGCCTGCTCAGTGCCTCCCCATGGGGGTCTTGGAAGGGGTTAGCTACTCTGCCTAGGGAAGGGTTAGGGTGGCCTTGCCCCGTGCATGCCCTTCCATCCCTTCCGCCAGCTGGGCCTGCCTGAGTAGCTGCAGTTCACAGTGGTGAGAATTGGGGGTGACCCAAGTGGGCCTTCCTGTGTGATGTGAGGCCCATCCTGGGGCAGCCACAGTTGGTGAGAACCCCTCAACCCTGGCTCCCCTTGCCAGTCTTTGGGCGCAGCCTCGACGTCAAGACACTGCTTTTAAGGGTGGAAGTTGCTAAAAGAGAACGTAGCCCAGCGGAGCGTCAGGCTGTCCTACGAGGCGGGGCGGACAGCTTCCCCGTCCTCACGGCGGGCGCGGCCTGGGCGGTGTTGCCACAGCTGCTGCTCGTCTGTGTTGCAGGGACTGTTTCAAGGTCTTTTACGTCCACAAGTTCAGAGCTGTGCTTGGAAAGAACCGGCTGATCTTCCCAGGGGAGAAGGTAGGGTGTGGCGCCCCCTCCCGCAGGCGGCCTGTCGCGGCCGCCTCCCGCACACCTGGACTTGGGGGATGGCCTGACGTCCGTGGGCGGGGGTGGGGCATGTTGGGGGCGCAGTGCCTCCGGTGATGTTCCTTCTCCCCCAGGTGCTCCTGGCATGGTCCGGGGGGCCTTCGTCCAGCTCCATGCTCTGGCAGGTCCTTGAGGTACGCCTGCACACCGTCCTGCACCCAGGCTGTGCCTGGTCGAGCTCCAGGGTGGGGGGCTGGCACTGAGGGGCTCTTGCTTGGGGCTGGGGAGAAAGGCCCACTCCCCAGCTAGGACGCCCGAGGGCTCTGGGACGTGTGCACAAGGGGCACAGGCCCCCGAAGCGGTGTCCAGAGTGCCAGCCATGTCCCGGTTTAGCGCCCCATCCCTTTGCTGGACTGCGTTAGAAACACGTTGCTGGGAAGCCGTGTGTGCGCCACGCCAGAGCGCCCCTCAGAGTGTCCTGGGGCCCAGGGCCCTCCCCGCAGTCCTGGTGGTGTGTCAGGATGGTGAAACGAGCAGGCGTTTCGGGGGCCTAGAGGGCCTGGCTCTGGCGGGGGGCAGGGTGGCTTCCCTGAGAAGTTTGAGGGGAGACCCGGAGGAGCCGGGGCGCGGCCGGGTGGCAGAGGGGCGCGGGGCGGAGACTGGCAGGGGGCATGGGGGCGGCGCCCGGAAGGCTCAGCTTGGGCGTCGGAGGCCTTGGCCCGCGTGGGACACACACGGATTCCCTGGGCTCTGTGAGGGGCTGTGGGGCGGTCTGTACCAGGGCTAACGGGAGGCGGCCCAGGGCTTCGGCACAGCGCTTCTGTGCTTGGCCTTCTGTGCTCGCCTCCTGGTCCCCTAGCCCTGGCCGGAGGCTGTGAGAGCAGCGGCCCACCCCGGCTCTGTCCAGCACCTGGCTGTGGACCTGAGGCCCTTTCATGTCCACCCCAGGGCCTGAGTCAAGATTCTGCCAAGAGACTGCGTTTCGTGCCAGGGGTTGTCTTCGCCGATGGTACGTGTCGCTGCTTCTCCCGGGCCGTGGTGCTCGGTTGGGCCCACTGACGGCTGGCGCTGTGCCCACACAAAGCCCTGGTGGGGGCGTTTCTCTCGAGATGATGCCCGTGTTCGACAGGCAGGGCAGCACCGCTGCTGTCTTGAATCTCAGACCGTCCAGGTTCGGGCGGGAGCAGCTGCCTGGCGTCTGTCACGGGGTCAAGGGCACTGAGTGAGAAGGGCGAGTTCTTTTCTCCCCAGCCAAAACAGAGAACCCCCCAGCCACTCTGAAAACGACCTGCAAGGACACAGGTCAGCGTCCAGAGACTGCTGCCCTCCAGGGTGCAATGGCCTTGGCCCTGACCTTACTCTCTTTTCTGCCTGCGGTTCTCAGAGGGAGCAGCCTGTGGCCAGAGCCCAGAGGACCGAGCAAAAACCCTGGCCGAGGCGAAGCTGGTCCTGCAGACTGTCGGCTTCCCGTGGCACATCGTCGCCTTGGAAGAGGTGGGCAGGCTGTCCCTGCTAGAGCGCCCCGGGGTGACTGCTGGGTGTCCAAGAGGGGCGCCAGCCTGTTTCCCCACGTGGGGTGGGCTGGCCCTCACACACTCCCCCCCCCCCCCAAATACACACAAGGTGTTCGGCCTGCCGCCATCTGTGCTGCGCTGCTCTGCCCGGGAGCCGGTGGGGACCGAGGGAGCCTACAAGGCGGCCGTGGACAGTTTCCTGCAGCAGCACCATGCCCTGGGGGAGGAGAAGCAGAGCCGGCCCTGCCCCCAGCACCCCCAGGGCCGGGCTGGGCCGCCCACAGCCGGCCAGACTGAGGCTCTGTCCAGACTCTTCAACTCAGTGAAGACGCTGACGGCCAAGGAGGAGCTTCTGCAGACGCTGCGGTGAGTTCCCTGCCACCCCAGGGTGCCAGCCCTGTCCCTCCCACCCAGGTCCTGAGACCCTCTCCCCCCTGCCCCCTGGAGTTCTGGGCCTACCCTACCTGGGCCCCTGAGACCCCCTGCCCTGCCCTGCAGGACCCACTTGATTCTGCATGTGGCCCGGACCCACGGCTACTCCAAGGTGATGACGGGGGACAGCTGCACCCGCTTGGCCGTCAAGCTCATGACCAGCCTGGCACTGGGGAGAGGGGCCTTCCTCGCCTGGGACACGGTGCGCCTGCAGCTGCCCAGGGCCCTGTCCCCACTCTCCTGGCCCCTTTCTCTTGACGTGGCGTGTCCTGAGTCGGGTTGCCCGCGAGGCGGGGGGAGCCCGTGACCCCCCGGCTGGCAGGGAAGGAGGGGGTGCTGTGAGCCGGTCAGCTGCGGGCGGCAGGGAACGCTGTGCCCACCGCCCCCAGGGCTTCTCAGACGAGCGACACGGCGACGTGGTGGTAGTGCGGCCCATGCGCGAGCACACGCTGAAGGAGGTCGCCTTCTACAACCGCCTGTTTGCCGTCCCCTCTGTCTTCACGCCGGCCGTCGACACCAAGGTCAGCGGTGCCCGCGCCGCGTGTCGTGCTCTCCGGGAAGGGGTGGCTCTCAAGGGAGGAGGGTGCCCAGCTGGGGGTCATGCATGTGGGGGAGGGACAGTGGGGCAGCCTGACATTTGTCAGCGATGCTTTGTCTAACGACAGGGACGCTCGAAGAGCAGGGGCCTTGGCCGGCTGCACCGCAGACTCTTGGACTGGTGTAGAGAAGCCCGTGCTCCCTGCTCTCAGCGGGCCCTGACCGGCCCCCTTGTCTCATTGCTCCCAGGCCCCGGAAAAGGCCAGCATCCACCGGCTGATGGAGGCCTTCATTCTCAGGCTGCAGGCCCAGTTCCCCTCCACGGTCAGCACCGTGTACAGGTGGGTGTGTGTGGGTACCGGGAGGGGGCCCTGGGAGGGAGTGGAGCCCCGCAGCCGACGGTGCCCTGTCCCCCACCCCCAGGACGAGCGAGAAGCTGGTGAAGGCGCCCAGGGACGGCTGTGCTGCCGGCAGCCCCGGGCCCCGCTGCCTGCTCTGCATGTGCGCGCTGGACGTCGACACTGCCGGTGTGTCCCTGCACAGGGTGCTGGGGGAGAGGCACCGGCGAGCGGTCGTGGGGGTTCCGCGGCCCCCGAGGTCCCCTCAGCTCCTCTCTCCTTGCAGACAGTGCCACGGCTTTTGGGGCCCAGACCTCCTCGCAGCTCCCCCAGACGCAGCCCCCCGTCGCAGAGGCTGAGGCGCCCACCGTGTCCTGCTGCCGCAGCGGGATGGGCAGGGCCCAGCACTGCTGCAGGATGTGAGTCCCTGCCTTGTCCTGTCAGCCCCACCCGCCATGGTCACCTCGCGGCTGCACGGGGGAGGGGTGCCCTCGGGCCCTTGCTGAGCCTTCTTGCTCGCGCAGGGAGGAGGACGACCCCCGCGCCCGTGTGATTGAGCAGCTGTGCTATGGCTGCCGTGTGACTATGAAGGACTTGGTGAGTGGAAGCCTCTCCCCCGGGTGAGGGGGCAGGTGGGCACTGGCCTGGGTTTGTGCCGCGCAGCCCCGGCACCAACGTCAGCTCTCTGTTGCAGCCCTCCCTGGACCCCCTGCCACCCTACATCTTGGCCGAGGCCCAGCTCCGCAGCCAGAGGTACTGCCCGCTTTTGCTGGGGTGGGCGGGGGTGGCTAGGAGGGGTCCTTCTGGATCTCGGTTCCCAGCGTGCGACTTCCCCAGGGCCGAGGCTGAGCAGGAGATCCAGGAGTGTCTGCTGGAGGCCCACGAGGGCAGGGCACGGCCTGGTGCGACCTCGGCAGAGCAGGAAGGCGCGGATGGGCGGGTGGCCTGTGATCACCCGTTTGTATAAATAAAAAGGTTTTAATTAGAAAACTCTACAGTGCGAGTGGGCAGGGGGCGCCGGGCCGCCGGGCCCCACAGGGAGGACGGTGAGAGCAGTCCTGCGCCGGGCCGAGGCCCCGGCCCTGCTGCGAGCGTCCCTAGTCCTTGTCGCGCGTCCACGCGATCAACGTCTCGGGCGAGCGGTACAGGAAGATGAGCTTGGCGTACAGCTCCTCCTCCAGCTCCAGCTCCCGAGTCTCCCGCACCAGGAAGATGTCCTGGCACAGCTTGAGGATGCGGTCCACGCATGGCAGCTCCTCAAACATGATGGAGTGCGAGATCTCGCTGAAGAAGCCGCGCACGAACTTGCCGATGACCAGCACGATGGACACGTACAGCCCCATGATGCTGCAGGTGGGCGAGTGAGTGAGCGTCGGGGCTACGGCCTGGCCCGCACCCCAAGCCCACACCCTGGCCCCGCCGCACTCACCCGTAGCCGGCCAGGAAGCCCAGGCTGGGCGGGCTGACCTTGTCACTGAAGATGACCATGGGCAGCAGGTTGCAGTCAACCTGGCAGTCCTGCAGCTCGATGACCCACCACTCGAGGAAGCCAGCTGCCCCCGAGCCCACGCGCTCCCTGCGCAGCTGGATGCGCACGCCGAGGTAGTCGGCCTCCTCGTCTGGGTCGGAACCAGGAGGCATCAGGCCACCGCCCTGTCCGGGGCCAAGGCCACGGCCGGCACCCCCGCCCTGGCACCCCTGCCCCACTCACTAGGCTGCAGCTGCTTCACGGGGTTGGCTTCAGGCCCGTTGGGGGCACGGATGTACTTGGGGAAGAGGTGGGGGATGACCCTGTGGGAGGAGGCCGGCAGGTCAGGCCCAGCCCAGCCCTCGTGCAGCCCCCCGGCCCCCAGGCCCCACTCACACGGACTGCTCTGAGGTGCCCTCCAGCAGGCTGGCCAGCTGCCTCCGGGCGGTGCTGTTGGGGGCCAGGCCCAGGGTGTGCTTCTCGTTGGTGTACTCCACCGTGCCGCCCTTGGCCAGGTCCCTACGACAGCACGAGGTGTGACCCCCACGGGCGTGCCCCCCCCCCCCCCCCCCCCCCCCCCCCCCGGCCCCTCCTGCCCCGGGACGTACCTCTGGAAGTTCCAGGTGAAGCGCATGGTGATGTCGGCGCTGCCGTTATACAGCTCCCGTTTCATCTGCGCCCGGCTTGGCGGGCTGATGCGCCAGAGTGCCCCGGAGCTCCCCTCGATCTGCGCCGTGACGATGTCCTCGGGGGCGTACTGGCTGATGAACTGCATGGCCAGCTGGGCGGAGGGCGGCACCTCAGCGGGGCGCAGCCGGGCCCCCTCCCATCCTGGCGTTTGCGTTTGGGGGCACTCACCGGGTGGGGGTCAAACTGCTTGGACAGCTCCTCGTAGGCCTGGTGTGTGAAGGGCACGATGGACGGCTGCTGGGCGCTCATGGTGAACAGGGGCTGGCGGTGGGGACACGGTGACGTGGCGCCACGGGAGCTCCCCCGCCCCAGGCCACCAGCAGCCACGGGAGGGCGAGCTCGTCTCCCGGGCAGAGGCCGCTCACCTCGTAGCCACCCAGCTTGAGGGTGACGGTGACGTCAGTGGGCTGGTTGACGACGCCGACCACGGACCGCACGAGGGACATGAAGAGCAGCGGGAACCAGATGATGGCCACGAGGAACAGGATGATAAGGCCGCCCATGCCGTACTTGACGATCTTCTTCTTCTTCTGCCCCTTGGGCTGCGGGTATTTCTGGGGGTGGGGGGCATGGGGCAATACAGGTCACCTGGTGCGGCTCTGCGCCGTGCCGAGCAGCCTGCCTCCCTGCTCTGTGGCGGCGGGCGCCATGGTCTCAGGCTCCCCTGTGGCCCCCACGACGTCGAGCCTTGACTGAGCATTGAAACTGAAGCCGTGGCAGTGAAGACAGTGGGGACCGGGGAGTAGAGCCCAGAGCCAGAAACAGACCCTTCCTCTGCGACTCTGCAGAGGGGCGGCTGGACACCCACGTGCTGAAGAGTCACGCTGGGCCCTTAAACCCTCGGCAAAAGTGAACTCGAACCTAAGACCTAAAACGGTAAAAGCCTTCGGGGCAAATGTCTCTGAGAAGCATCTAGTGTTCGGGATACACAAAGAACTCTCACAGCAATAGAAACCACCCAAGTAAAAGCCGGCGAAACACGTGAGTGGACGTCTCCCCAAAGGTGATACACGAGTGACCGACAAGCACAGGAAAAGATGCTCGACATTATTAGTCACCAGGAAATGCAAGCAGAACTGCGGTGAGACACCGCCTCACCCCTACCAGGACCGGCGAGATCACACAGTAACACGTGGGCAGGTAAGATGGCGCCCCCGCCAGGCAACACCCACGCGCAGTTCCACTCCTGGGTGTGCACCCAGGAGAAAAGGGGGCCTGTGGCCACAGTTCTGGACGTGAATGGCCATGGGGGCGTTTTTTAGGGCACCCAGAAGGTGTCCTAGACCACGTCACGCTGAGAGAAGCGTGAAGTCCAGTCACGGAAGGCCACGTGTCCCGTGATTCCATGTAAATGGCACCACAGGAACAGGCACATCCGTGTAGAAGACGAACCAGGGGCCAGGGGCCGGGGCCTGACTGCGAGTGGGAATGGGGCTTCTCTCCGGATGATGGGCACTAGCTGAAATTGACTGTGCTGAGGCTCGCCTGAGTCTGAATAGACTAGAAATCACCAGACGAGGTGTGTGAATTTTATCAATAAAACTGCTAAAAAGAAAAAAAAAAAAGCACGAAAACCCAATTAACATTTTAGTGCCCACACCACGACCCGTGCTAGTAAACCAGGGCCCAAGAAGCCAGGCCTCTCCTGCCCGGCGTCTGCTCAGGCCCCTCTGTGGTTGGCCACCCCAACACGGCCACATTCATTGTCCCCTCGAAGAAGCCCCTTCTGGCCTCCAGGAAGTTTTTAGGACGATGCTCTCTGGACTGGACTCATGTTTCGTGGGCTGTGAACCCCAGGAGGGACCCCGGTGGGGCGTGACCAGTGTCCCCTGCTCCCCCCACCCCGGGGCCCGGGCACCTTTTCTGTCTCTCGGCTACACTTGATGATGAAGATGTTCGCATAGATGTCCTCCACGCACATCCAGTTGGACAGGGACAGCGTGGTGTCCGTCCACACCCAGTCCATCACAGCCCGCAGCTCCACCAGGAACGGCACCAGCCGGAACCTGCCGGAGACCGGGGCACCGTCAGGAGGGCCGGTGGGGAGGACAGCCCTGCCGCAGGTGCCCAGGCCGGCCACACTCACCCCTGGAAGAGGAAGAGGTTCAGGTGGTTGTACTTCTTGGTGAGGAAGTTGCCGAGGATGCGGGTGGGGTAGCCGCAGCGGATCTGGTAGGCGGACAGGGCGAAGTAGATGCACTTGACGAAGTACCACAGCTGGGCCACCGCGTTCTGGCTGAACATGCTGGATGGGACAGGAGCCGGGGCAGGTGCCTGTCTTGAGGCCGGAGCTCCACGGTCCCCGCCCCGGCACCTACTGCTCGGTGACAGGGGGGAGCCCCGGCACCTACCGCTCGGTGACGGCCGGCAGGATAAAGAACATCCACAGGTGCACGGCCAGCACCAGGACCACCTGGAAGGCCAGCTTGCCCAGCACGGTCTTGCGCAGGTAGAGGGCGCGGTCGACCACCATGGTGCTGAACTGGATCAGCAGCATGACCAGGAAGGCCTCCGGCACCTGGTCGTCTGACAGGGAGGACGTGATGTCTGTGGCCGCCGAGTGCTTCTGTGGCCGGGAGAGCAGAGGTCAGGGGCGCGGCCGCAGATGTGGGGCTGTGCTCATGGGGGCCCTGAGACCCAGCTCACCCCAAAGGCCCAGAATCCAAAGATGATGATGACGAAGTCGACGACGTCGGCCAGGAACATGAGAGCATAGACGTCGGTGGCCGCGCGGTACTTGGTGTGCAGAATGTCGTGGAAGAAGCGCCTTACAGGCCAGTACACGCTCCGGGCCCTGCAGGCGAGCGGCCTCAGTCTAGGCCCCACTCCTCCCACCCACCCTGGCCTGGGCGCTCCCGGCCGGGTCACTCACAGGGACAGGCAGAAGCTCTGCAGCCGGAGCCCCAGGGCCCTCACTCTTTTGCAGGGGCGGCTCTGCCTCTCCTCGCTCTCTGCAGCCGCCTCCGCCTCCGCTCCCACCTCCTTGTCGTCCTCGCCTTCTGGGGGGAGCAGCCGCTGCTGACCGAGCCCACGGTACGGGGCTGGGCCCGGCTCCGACTCCTGACCATCCCGAGACCCCACAGGGGCTGCTATTGATTGCCCTGCCTCACAGACCAGACTGAGTGCAGGGACCCCCTCCCCCCCACTGAGGGTCACCAGCAGTGGCCGTCAGGGACGCGGCTGGGGCAGTGGCTCCACCAGGTGGGCCGCGATGGCTGCACGTGGCCAGGCCCTCGTACCAGTGGCTGCCCGTCCTCTGGGTCCTGTGCTCTCCTTCCTCCTCTTTCTGAGACGCAGGCTGACGCGCCTCTCGTCACGGGGCTCTGGGGGCCCGTCCTTTGCTTCCACCGGGATGTCGTCCTCAGTGGGGGCCCTGGCCACCCCTGGCTCCCCCTGGGGTCCCAGCAGGGCCGGCTCCTCCTCAGCCGCCTTGTCCTTCCCACCACCCCTGTCACGCTCCTTCGGGACAGGGTCCTCGTCGTGGTCCCAGAGGCCGTAGCACTGTGGAGGGACGTGCGGGGCTGGTGAGAAGGCCGGCGTGGCAGCACTGGGCAGCACATGGCGTGGGCGAGGTGGCCAGGCCCACGCTGGGCCTCGCAGCATCCGGCCTGCCTCGGAGCAAGGTGGCTGGGCGTGCGCGCGGCCGTGTGTGCTGTGTGCCCACGTGTGTGCGCGCGAGAGGCGGCCCTGCACGGCCGTGTGTGCTGCGAGCCCATGTGTGTGTGCGCGGGAGGCAGCGGCCCTGCGCGGCGCGTGCGCTCACCAGCAGCTGGGCGCGGTGGAAGAAGAGCACGATGAGCTGCGGCAGGTCGCACTTGACGTAGCTGTCGCTCTTCTCCAGGCCCAGGATGCGTGGCGGGAAGTAGGGCTTGTTTTCATAGCGCCGCAGCACAGCGTGGCTGTTCCAGGGGAAGAAGCCGAACTGGAACAGGTACTTGGCGACCACCGTGACCTGCAGGCGAGAGGAGTCAGTGGGGCGCCAGCCCCCGACCCCCACCCCCACCCCCACCGCCAGCCGCGATGCCAACCTCGGTGAAGATGATGGCCGTCATCCAGAAGCGCTTGCTGGGCCGTGGGATGGACAGCATGGCCCACAGGAAGACCAGCACGGGCAGCATCAGGGAGGCAGCCGAGGCGGTGACCATGTGGTTGAGGATGATGACGAAGTAGCAGAGCAGCTCCGAGTGGGCGGCCACACACTGGTACACGGCCTCCAGCAGCCGCAGCACGCGGCCCTGTCCCGCCGCGAACCGCTCGGCCTCCTCCAGCTCCGGGATGTGCAGGCACCTGCGGGGGTGGGGGGGGGACAAGGCTCAGAGCCTCTGGGGCCACCAGGCGGGCCTGGGCCCACCGGCCCTCCCGCCGTACACCCCTCCCCGCGCACCTGTCCAGGAGCAGCTCGCTGGCTGTGCGCGTTCTGGCGCGGCCGCTGGCGGGAAGCTCCCAGGAGCCGTGCAGGGAAGCCCCGGGCTCGGTGACCGTCTCCTCGCCGCTGCTCTGGGTGTTACAGCTGGCACTCAGAGGGCTGCTGATGTCCTCCGTCACGCTGCTCTGTGGCTCCTCCGCCCCCAGCCCGCTGCAAGAGGGGCGGGTCACAAGGTGTCCTGTGCGCCCCTCAGGCTCTGGGGCGGGCCTGGAGGGCTTCGGGGTCTCGGTGGATGAGGGCCCAACCAGCTGCCTGCCCCTGTGCGGCAGCCCAGGTGCCGGGGCTGGACCTCACTCTGGGCCAAAGACAGGCCGGGTGGGGTGGGGTGGGTCCCCGCTCCTACCTGGATGGAGTGCTCAGTGCATCACGGATCATCTCAGCTTCGCTGGCATACAGCTGATCCAGCACGTCCCGGCGCACCTCTCCGCCCTGCAGGGCAGCGAGGGGCTCAGGGCAGCCGCGGTGGGCGAGAAGGCGTGGGGGTGCCCTCAGTGGGCGTGGTGTGGAGCGCAGGGGGCGGGGCGGGGCGGGGGCGGCCCACTCACCCGGAGCAGCTCCTGCGTGAGCAGGTAGCGCTCAGCACGCAGCACATCACTCGTGGCGCGGTGGTGCCGCGTGAAGTCGTGCAGCCAGCGCGTCAGCTCGTCCACCAGCGCCTGGCCCAGCACCCACAGGAACTGCGTGGTGCTCAGCACTCGTTGCATCACGTGGCTGCGGCCTGCGGCGAGGGCGAGGCACGCGGGTGCTGGAGGGACGGCTAGTGGGAGACCCCCAGCCCCCCAGCCCCTAGCCCTCGGGCCAACTCACCGGCTACCTCATCCTCCAAGCCCTCTGCCAGCTCTGCCTCCTGTCTTGGGTCACCGCCTGGGCACAGGGGTGCTGGTCAGCGCCTTGCAGCCCCGCCTCCCTGCAACCCGCCAGCCGCCGGACTCACCCGTGGGCAGCTGCCCTGCCCGCTCCTGCCGCTGCTGGTGCAGCACCGTCTGGGCGTTGGTCACCCACGCCTGGTACGCCATCTGCAGGCCAGGGCCCCGGGTTAGCACGCGGCCTCCCCTGACCTGATCCCGTTAGCCGAGGAGCCTGGGGCCAGGGGGCCCAGCTGGGGGCCGTCAGCTCCCTGCGCCTGGGCAGGAAATGGGCCACGGAGCTGTGGGGAGAGGACTGGGCGGTGCGTGCCGCCCACCCAGCACGTCCTGCTTGTCAGCGCCAGGCCCCGTGCTGAGAGCCAAGGGCCCGAAGACGGACAGGAGAATGTGTGCCCAGCATACGCTGAGCCCATCTGCAGGCCACAGCGGCCCCGCCAGCCTGCGTGCTCACCTGGAAGGTGCTCTGTGCTGACGGCCGGGCGTCCTCGGGCTGCACCTCCTCCTCCTCCTCGCTGTCCGACTCGAACAGGAAGTAGTCCCCAGAGTGGATGACTGCGGGCAGGGGTCACTGAGAGCCGGCCGCCCCCGTGGCTGGGCTCCACACCTCCCTCCTCCTCACCCGGACCCTCAGGTCCGTCTCCTCGGTTCGGGGTGGGTCTGGGAACAGCCTGGCCATGCTGGACTCCCTCAACAGCCTGCGACCCTGGGCCAAGGCCTGCACACCACCCTCCCCCCAGCGATGTCCACGGGGGCAGGAGGCAGTGTGCGGCAGGCCGGGGGACTGTGGCACGTGTGCGGGGCACGGGCGGGAGCGGTGGCACGGGACCAGACTGGGCGAGAGAAACGCGTGGGGGCAGGGCGAGAAAAGCAGGGGCAGTGCCGACCAGCAGCCGGGGTCCAGGCTTCCGAGCCCACGCGTCAGGAAGGAGACAACAGAGCGTGTTGTCGGGGACGTGGCCCGACGACAGCGAGGCTCAGCAGGGAACCCGAGAGCCCACGCACGGGGCTCCTGGGGGTGCTGGCCAGGTCAGCGCAGGGTGCGCCCCCTCCGTCCCGGGGGAGACGGCGGCCAGGGTGCGGGAGGCCTGCCTGGCACACAGCAGCTCTGAGAGGGCAGCCAGGGCAGGCCAGGCGGGGGCAGTACCTGTGGCGTGGTCCAGCCAGGGTCGCCACCACTGTGGCCGTGGCGAGGAGGAGCCCCCTGCACTGCCGGGCCCTGTGGAGGGGCAGGGTGAGCGTGAGCCAGCGGGGAGGCCCCAGGGCAGCGAAGGGGCAGGCCACGTGTGGTGCCGTGTGTGGGGGGGGGGCAGGACAGACCACAAGTGCGGACGGACAGTCATGGGCTGGCCACGTGGCCCGTGGGGACAGAGTGACCAAGCGGCACAGGGTGGTTGGGCCGGGAAGCCCCGTGGGATGCCACACAGCACAGATGCAGGCAGGCTCCACCAGGCGTGGACACACCCCCACCAGGTGGGGACGCGGGGCCCATCCACACTCACCTGACTCCTGGCTGGGGTCCAGGGAGCCCTGCAGGTGGCCGCGGCCGGCCCGGCCATGCCTGTGCTTCTCCTGCTTGGCCCGGATGCGCTCCATCCTGCAGGGCGGGAGGCGGCTCAGCGCAAGGTGGGGCGGGGCCAGAGAGCCCGTGGCCCCACCCACACGGCACCTACTGTCTTTTCAGCTGGGCCAGCGACTTCTCCTCCGCCCTGCGGTGGAGCTCGATGGTCTTGAGGTTGGCAGCATTGTAGAGGCCAAAGCCCCTGTGGGGCAACAACGGGGGTGGGGCATTAGCTCCGGCTCAGCCTGGCGTCCCAGGTCCTGCTCACTGACAGCAGCAGGGGCCCAGCCCACAGAGCTCAACACCCGCCTTGTCGCATGCTGCTTCTGTGAGAGAGAGATCCTCCCGCAGCCTCCAGTCTTACGGGGTAGAAGATTGGGGGGGGCGGGGGGAGAGCCGCTGGCCCATCAGCCAAAGCGCAGGGATGCGCCCTCAGCCCAGCGCGGTGGCCACAACCGGCCCAAAACACCAGCTGGTGGCAGAGCCGGGGCCGAGGCCACATACCCCCGGGGTATGGAGAAGGTCCTAGCGGGTCTGTCTCCTTGGTTCTCCCTCTAGGGGGCGGGCCACGTCACGGAGGGACGGCCCGGGGCGCGGCGGGGGGCCCACCTGGAGGCCTGCAGGGCAGTGGCGCGGAGCTCGGCCCAGACGTGCAGGAAGTAGTAGCTGAGGAAGACGCGGCGCTGCAGCAGCAGGAACAGGAAGCAGACGCTGTCCCACAGGACGCCCGCCTCCTCCACAGGCAGCAGGCAGTCCTGGTCGCGGCCCAGCATCTCCTTGGCTGCGGATGGACGCCAGCCAGGTCAGGGTCCTGGAAGCCGCGTACGTCCCCACGCGCCTCGGGGCCCCGGCCGCCTGCCTCGCGCACTCACGGTTGTAGTAGCCTTTGACCGTGCACACAAGGCTGAAGAGCTGGATGACCCAGCAGAAGCTGCTCTGCATCTGCTCCACGAAGACGCAGGACAGGAGCTGAAGGCGGGAGGAGGGTCAGCCTGGGCGCCCCCGGGCGGGGGCTGGGGGCTGGGGGCCGGGCTCACCGAGAGCATGTTCTTGGAGACGATGACGGTGACGTTGTAGAGAATGAGGCAGTCCCATAGGACGAGGCGGGTGCGCGTGTCCTTCTGCTGCAGGCTGGTGCCAAACAGCAGCAGGTAGAAGCAGGCCAGCAGGTAGCCCAGCCCGAAGATGCTGACGCGTGTGGCCCCCGTGACAAACACCACCACCAGCACCAGCCAGAAGAGGTAGCGGAAGACGGCCACCTTCAGCATGTCGAGGTAGGACCTGCCGGGCAGAGCGTCACTCTGGGCCCTGGTCACCGCTGCCTCCGCCGCAGCCCAGGACCAGGGGAACTCCCGGGCGGCCCCTCTGCTGCGGGGTCAGCATCCGCCCCTCGTCCCGGCCACAGAGACACCCCTGGCAGCACGCGTCCTGGCTCAGTCCCGCTTGAGCCCAGGCGCGTCTGTCGGCCCCGGGAGCCGTGCGGCCTCTGCGACGCCCACCTGCAGTGGATGAAGTTGGGCACGGGGTTGGGCTCCCCCTGCAGCGGCTCCAGGCGATCAGTGTTAACGCCTGCCACGTGCTGCCACTCCTCCGTGCGCTCGGCCAAGAACACCTGCCACTGCTGGGAGGCGCAGAGCAGCAGGAGGACGTCATCTGTGGGCACACAGGAGGCCACTGCCGTGCCGTGCTGCGCCACGCCCCGGGGAGCGCTGGCCGCACAGAGGCCTGGCCCACGACGGGGTGCAGGGCACTTCCTGCCCGGCATTGCCCTCATCCCCCAGGCCCTGGGCGGAAGCATGCACGCGTGTTTACACCGGCATCTACACACAGCGTGGATGCGCACACGGATGTTGGGGAACACGTCTGTGTACACGTTCTGCATGTGTACACGTGGGGGTCTACGTGCACCACACGACTGTCAGGAAGTGAGGCCAACGTGAGCCTGACTGCACACCACGTGGCATCAGTCTGCACACCCGTGTCCTCCCCCACATCCATACCTGTGTGCACACCTGCGCCCACACCGTGTGGCAGGAAGCACACATGTGAGGTGGACCCGTGGGACCAGGCACACTCACGGAACACACCCCTGCAGGGAACTGTAGGACTGGACTGGCTGCAAGGCCTGGACAATTCAGTCCTCGCTGGCCGCGGAGGAGGGTCGGCGCCTGCCTGCCACCTATCCCGCGGGAACCTGCACAGCTTCCTGCATGGCCAGCAGTGCCGTGTGTGCACGAGGGGCCCCAGGGGACTCACTGATGAGGTTGGTGGCGTTGGGGGCACTGAAGAAGTCCGGCAGGTACAGCCACCTGATCAGGGCAGAGTTCATGGGGATAGCCCGGCTCCAGCGCCACGGGTAGTCTGTGGGAAGAGGGTGCACATCACCCACCACCCCAACCCGTCCCCAGCGTCCCCGGGAGTCACTTGGACACCCACTCCCATCCCACCCGGAGTCTCCAGAGCACACAGGACCAGCGAGCCCAGTTCTCACGGACATGTGCCCCAGGCGCCAGTGGCTGGGGAGGGGGTACATGGGCAGGTGGGCGGGGCACAGCCTCACGTGTGGGCCACAGTCGGCGTGGACCCGAATGAGGCTTCATTGTGCACCTGCCAGAATGGCTAAAATAAAACCATGTGGATGCCAAGTGCTGGCGTGGAGGTGAAGGAGTGGGACCACCCTGGGTGGTCATCCCAGAGAACTGAAAACCACGGCCACACAAACACCTGTGCACCACCCAACGAACGAACGTCCGCAGGAGCTTATCCCCGACATCCCAGACCTGGAAATGGCCCAGTGCCATCCGAGGGGGTAAAGGTCAAGCCAGCTCTGGTGCACCCAACCCGTGGAAAACTGCCCAGCAAGGAACGTGAGCAAAGCGTCATCCAGGCCACAGCCCAATACACCTTAACTGCATCTCATGAGATAAACCAGACTCCTAGGTTACACCATCCAAAGGCAAACCATAGGGATGGAGACCAGGGTGGGCGCTGGGGATGGGAGGGGGGCAGGGACCTGGGGACGGACACAGCTCTACATGCTGGTCAGCACCACACAGTGAATTCTACTACATGGTTGGGGGAGCCCGGGACGGAGCGCAGACTGACAGGTGATCTAATTGGACAGTGCGTGTATAACGCGCCTCCCGGGAGGGGCCAGGAAGAAAGGAGCTGCCCCAAGTAACTTTACAAACGGCGTCTTGACGGAACACAGACACTGTCCACCAAGACGAAAGAGGAGCAGTGACACGGCATGGCAACACGCACACCCGGGGCCCAGGTCTTGGTTTCTGAATTCCACCCTCCAGGGAAAGGAACCAGGCTCCGGGGCGGGGGAGGGGTGGCGACTTCCTGGGATGGGGGCAGGGCGGGGGCGGCTCCTGAGGCAGCAGCACCCGGCTAACCCAAGACTGAGGACGTATCCCAGGGCCAGCGCGGGTACGGTGTGGACACAGCACCAACGACAGGAGTGCAGCAGAAGCCTGGGGATACAGGCCCAGAGTCTCTCTCTACAGATTAAACAACCGGACAGATCAGTAGGGAGAAGGGACACAGCTCTTCTTTACAGGTGATGCCAATCGATCACCACAGGAGACACAAAATCACTGTGAGAAAACCAAACAGCCCCTGCGGGCGGATCCACAGAGCGCGCTGAAACCAGCGGGCGAGAGTTTACAGGGAGACAAGACTCCTGCCGGGTCCTAAGCTTGCCCTGCAAGTGAACATGCGACAGTGACGAGCAGCGGCGAGACTGGCGGAAAAGGGGTGTCACCCGCGATGAGACACACCAGCCCCAGCGTGACGCACCGAGATGGGCAGGTCACGGCTGTGGTTTTCTTGCCAAAAGTGCTTAACCTGGTCTAAGGAAGAAACACCCATCGATGCTGGGATGAGGGGTGTTCTACAAACGACCACTTCCTGCTCCCCCCAGTCTCAAGGTGATGAAAGACAAAGGAGACCAAGGAGCCGGCCGAGGACCGAGAGCGGTGGGGGCCCCTGGGGACAGCCATGCGGCCCGTGGCTCCGGCCGTGGTTGGTGGCCTGGCCCCCGTTTTGGTTCTTAACTTTGGTCGCTGTGCTTGGTCGCTTCAGAGGCTGGCGTTCACGTCGGGGAAATTGGGTGGAGGACGTTCAGGAACTCTGCTCCACTTCTGCTACTCTTCAGCCGAAACCCAGGGGCTGTGACCCAAAAGGGGCCTCTCACAGGGCAGGGGCCTGACTTCCAAGGTAGTGATGCGGACCCCAAAGTGCCTGCCTGCAGGGCTCCACGGGCACCTCTGAGACGCTCTGAACGTGAGCGGGAACGCGGGATGGATTACAAAGCGCTCACACAGAACCCTGCACCCACTGACAAGACAACAGGAAACAGAGCGGGAAGGGAGAGAATTCAAAGCTCCTCGCAGAGAAGCCAAGTAGCAAATGTACCAGGAATAACAGAAATCAAAAACGTCCATTTTGTGAAGTTCCGCCAACAGGAGAGTCAGCAGACGTGGACACGCGGGGCAGAGCGCTGGTCCCCTGACAGGGTGGGCTGGGGGCCCCCAACGCCCCGATGGCCACTTGACTCCCCGTCATGGACCGTTCCTGCCCAAGCATTCCCCAGTGTCTACGCTCTGGGGCACAACCCACAGAACTAAGTTCAGGGCTTTCTGTGAGCCCCCTGGCCTGACTCTGGCAAGGTCACAAGAGACAGAGGCTGGGACAGTCCTGACCAAAGGCGATGGGAGAAGAGGACGGCCAAGCACTCCCGTCAGCTCCTGGTCAAAGCCAACAGCTACCAGGGACGTGGCCCTGAGGACGAGGCTGCTGAGTATGGATGGCGTATCAGACCGGGGGTGGACGGCCGTGTGTGGTCACCGTCCTGAACACAGAGGGTCCCCACCCTGGCTGTACTGAGCGTGGAGCCCAGACTGACTCCCATTTGCCTGGGAAGAGCATACAGCTGCTCCTTGGACTATTCTCCCAACCTCTCCGGTTATTTGAAAGTTTTCAAAATAGAACGTTGGGCAAAAAGAAAGCAGAGGGTGAGGAGAGGCCAGCGAGGGAGCCAGCACGACTGCAGCCCACAGAGTCCATGCACGGGGAGGAGGGGGCTGAGGCCACTCCAGGGGCTGGGATGCCCAGGTTGGGTGCAGCCACGCACGCCCAACTCACCCCATGCCCACCCCAGCCCGCAGGCCACCCTGCTCACCGATGCACAGGGCAGGGGGCATGCCCAGGCACAGCAGGTACTGGTAGAGCAGGAAGAGTGCCAGGAAGAGGCAGTAGCTGGGCCAGAGGCGGGCGATGGCCTCACGGCGCCGGCGGGTGAGGACGGCCACCAGCCAGCAGCCATGCAGGATGACCATGAAGTTCATGCGCTGTCCGATCACGTTCACGGCCATCAAGAAGCAGATCTGGGGGTGGCACAGCGGGACAAGGTGACCAGGATGGGGACGCAGTGAGCCGGGGGAGGAGCCCTCCTGGCTCTGCCTCTGGGCAGCCTCGGGCGGTAGTGCTTGTGCCCAGGGTGGGGGGCAATGGCCCAGGCTCACGACAGCCCAGGCCACCCTCCTGGAGGGACGGAGAGGCTGGACACGTCTCAACGGTGGGGGGAACCAAGGTAGGGGCACCATGGCGGAGTCGAGACGGAGCCCCTCTCCAGCCGGGGCCCCAGCCCCCTGCCCTCACTCCGCAGGCCCCTCTCCAAGCAAGGCCAACTCAGCTGGAGGACCTGACACCCTCGGTGGTCCCCCCTCCCCCCGCCCTGGGCCTGCCCATTGCAGAAAGCCCCACAGAGGGTGGCAACGACCCCCAGTGGCTCAGGCCTGCCCAGGGAGGAGGCGAGAGTCGACGCCTGCCTCACCTCCAGCCCAAACTTGTAGAAGAAGAAGTTGACGAAGTACTTGAGGCAGCTGGGCAGGTCGCGGTCGAGCTGCTGGCGGGTGCCATCGGCGCAGACGGCCTGGGCCGGCAGCGGGGCCAGCTGGTGCCGGCGGCGGTGGTAGTCCTGGCACCGGTACACCACAGCCTCGAACACCAGCAGCAGCAGGATCTGCAGGTGGCTCTGGGGGGCGTGGCCAGTCAGGCCCCGCCCAGCCCCTGACTCCACCCCCACCCCCCACCCCCGCCCCGGCCCACCTGCCCCGCACTCACTTGGATGTAGCCCAGGTTCGGGAAGCCCTTCCGCACCCCGAACCAGTTGGCGGGGTCGATGGGTCCCCGGTACAGCAAAGACTCGTGGATCTCCGTCTTCTGCAGGTTCGTGCTGTTGGGAAAGGGCTGGGGGAGGGGCGGCGTCAGCACCTGCTGCCCACCAGGAACCGGACGCTGACCCCAGGGACCGCCAGCCCCACGCGACACCCCCGCTGCAGCCACAGCTCCGATGGGTCTGCGCCGGAGCACAGCTGTCCCCAACCAGGGACGTGGGGCGCTGTCAGCCTCCAACCCACCTCAGTAGGGAAGGGGACATGGATGGTGTTTGGGGACAGGGAGGCCACCAGCAGGGGCTGGGAGAGTGAAGAGAAATCTGTGGGTGGGCTTCCCTGAGCAGCCCCACACTTCCCTCCAGCAGACGTCAGGCCTCTGTGCCCCTCACGCCAGGACCTGCACTTCCGTCAGGAAGTCAGCCGGGTCGGGACACATCTCTGAACCCAGATGTCTCAACCTGGGGAGTGGGTCCTCCGCAGGAAGCCCAGGCCCCAGGGACAGGCCCTCTGCATCCGTCCCTCCACCCAAGCTGGAGCAACGGCCGTACCTCGGTGCAGTTGCTGGCATACTCGTGGGGGCTGACAACCTTGAGCTGGTACAGCATCTTGCACACAATGATGATACAGGTCCACACGGTAGCCAGGCAGGAGGCCATGGGCCGGAAGCGGGGGTAGGGCAGGGCGAAGGCCCACAGCACGACCAGCAGAAAGTTCAGCACCGACACCTGTGGGCAGGCGGGCAGTGGCGGCGGAGCAGTGGCAGGCAGGGCTGCGCCCTCCCCGTGGGCCCACGATCCGCAGCCACGTGCTGGTACCGGCTCCAGGGAGGCCAGCGAGAGTGTCTGAGCGTGCCCACACTCACCTCCTTCAGGGCCACCCACATGGTGTACAGGGCCACCATCTTGAAGACGTGCAGCTCTAGCAGACGCCGCGTGAGCACTTGCACGCGGGTGAGGACATCCGAGAAGCCGGCGGCCAGGTCCAGGAGCCGCTCAGCCACCAGGCCCCACTTGCTGGCTGGGGGGTTGGGGGGCCAGTGAGGAGCGGGGGACAGGGCCTCTGTGGCCTGGGCCGTCCCATCCCGTGTACTGACGGGGCTCCGGGGCTCAAGATCCGGGCACCTTGAGCTTACCCTCCGGGACCTGTATGGCCTGGTGGGGGCCAGCCACGCCCAGCCCCTCGTCTCTGGGTGCCGCCTCCTCTTCCTCTTGCTGCAGCAGGGGGGTCCCGCTCACCGTGTCCTGCCTGGGACAGGACCCTGAAGTGTCCTTCCCTCCTGCATTCCTGGGGTGCCCTGCAGCCCCTCCCATTCCCGCCTCCCCAGAGACAAGAGAAGCCCCACCTGCCATCCCACCCCAGCACTGGGACCCCTGTGCTGCAGCCACTAGGTGGGAGAGTGGGGCCCGGCTTGACGCCGTGATCCCCGCGGGTTGGAGAAAACATCCAGTACCTGAGGCCCCGGCACCTGCAGGCAGCAGCTGAGAGCTCAACCCTGTTCCGGGTCTCCCGCCCTCACCGTACAGACTCCACCCCCGCCCGAGACCGGCCTTCCCCTGTGCGGGCTCAGGGAACACTCTGCAGACCCCCAGGCACCAGGAGGGAGGACGGGCGCACCTGTGAGCCCAGCGCAGGGTGCAGGCGCTGGGCGGGGGGCGGTGCTCGGGGTCGGTGAGCTGCATGAAGGGCCTGTGGAAGTAGTGGAGCTGCAGGATACAGGCGAGCAGGAAGAAGCCCGGGACCAGGATGCTAGAGAAGAGCTCGGACACGCTGAACTGCTCCAGGCCCAGGTCCCCCAGCCTGCGCGGGAGGGGCTGTCAGTGCCGCCAGCGCGGCAGCCGCCCCCCCAACCCCTGCGTCCGACACTCACTGCTCATCCGTGAGGCCGGTCAGGTTGCGCCAGTAGGCGGGGAAGTCCTGGAACTGGAAGGTGTAGACGGCCACCAGCACCAGCATGGTGTAGGCCACCACCAGCCACCAGAACGCCTTGAGCAGCTTCCGCCACAGGCTGTAGTACACCTGCCGACGGCCAGGCGCGGTGAGGTCAGCCGCGCGGCCCTGCACGCCCACGCCACGCCCGCGCCCCGCCCGCGCCCCGCCCCCGGTACCTGGAAGAGGGTGAGGCAGAGCAGGAAGAGCAGCATGTAGACGATCTTGTACACGACAAGGCGGCCGGCGAAGCTGACCACGATGAACATGCCGCCGCACACGTAGACCCAGTACTTGGCGTACACGCCCCTGACCAGCTCCCCCAGGCTCCGCAGCAGTGTCCGCGTCTGGGTGGGCTCTGCGGGCCGGACGGGGGCGGGGGGGCGAGCGGGGTGCAGCTTCAGGACCGGGCAGGTGGGGGAGGCGCCGCGCCCCTTCCCCCCTCCCCCCACTGCCCGGCCCGCTCACCTGCGGCGGCCACAGTGACCTCCATCAGCGCCACGGGGTCCCGCGCCCTCTTCAGCAGCTTCTCCTTCACAAACTGGCGCAGCAGAAGCCAGAAGGTGAGGGTGCACAGCAGCTGGGGGGCAGGGGCGGCGGCACTGAGTGGAGCCCGGCCGGTGGAGGCGGGAGCCGGGGTGAGACCGCAGCAGGAAGGCGGCCTGCCCGGGCCCCGCGCGCCAGCCTCCCTGCAGGCAGAAGCTCAGCCTCTCGTACGCACGCACGAGTTCACGCACAGATGCACACGCTCCCACACAGCAGCCCCTGCACTCACACACCACCTCGTCCACACACAGACCCGCAGGTGAACGCGGGGTCACAGGTGTTTACACACTTGCAGGCTCCTGGGCTTGCACAGTGAGATATAACTAACTCACAGGCCCCCAACACGTGACCGGCAGCAGCACGGCCGTCCAGGTGCAATGGCCTGTCCCAGAAGGGGGCACGGCAAAGACACAGACGCCCGCTGAGACCCAGGGGCCGCGTGCGATGCTCAGAGCCCGTGTCAGGCAGCTGGGATGGCACCCCCAGGAACACGAGATCATCACTCGTTCACTCAACAAACGCTCTTCGAGCAACTACTCCGGGCCGGCTGGGTGACCCCGGTGACCACCAGACGTGGGCTCCGGCCTCCAGAGCGCCCACGGCACTAGGAGCTGAACGGGCAGCGTGGTGTCATCACAGGCACGCAGGGGGTTGGGAGGAGGCTCACCATGGCGCCCAGGTCCAGGCAGGGGTAGCGGGTGTGCTCCAGCCCCAGCTGGCGCAGGCTGACGGGGCCCAGGGCGGTGGGCAGCTCGGGCCGCAGGTCCATGGCCCACACGTAGCGCAGGCTGCAGAGCGCCAGCCCGTAGAGCAATATGAAAGGCGAGCAGAGCATAGCCATCTGGTGGCGGCTACGCACGGTCCAGATGAGACAGGCCCAGAGCAGCAGCACGAAGGTCAGCCAGCTGTGGTAGGTGATGCTCCACACCTGGACGGCCAGGGCGTGGGTAGGACACCCGGCCCGGCACCCATACCCCGTTCCCCCAGGCTGATGAGGGGGTGGACCCCCGGGGCCGGGGGTGTGTGTGCTCAGACAGGAAGGCCAACCTGCCCAGCTGGCCCGGAGAGCTGCCCAGGCACGCTCACACACGCGGCTGGGGGCTGGCCGGGGCTGCTCTTGGCCTAGCAGGTCACAGCCCCAACCGCTTCTGGTGACAAGGCACCAGAACACCATCTGTCGCGAGGGAGCCCGCGGGAAGCCCCAGCCCGAGGGGTGGCCCAGGCCAGCGCCCTTACCATCATGGCAATGAGGGCACATACGTAGCTCTGGTCCATGATGAGGTGGCCCAGGCCGTGCAACGGAGACGTCTCCTTAGGCCCAGTCAGCCTGGGGCGCGCTAAGGGGTGAGGGCAGGGGTCACCAGGGAGGCGAGACCCCTGCTGGGGAAACTCCAACGTCAATAGGCCCGAGCCCCTTGCCTACACCCGAGTGGCCCGAAAATGCAGACAGCGTGCTGGAGCCACAGCCTAGGTGGAGGGGGGGCCACACCTGGCACAGGCTCACGGGGCACTGGGGGAGGAACACACGGGCAAAGGGCCCGGGCTCCTGTCCGACCCTGTTCCCAATGTGCTGTGGGACCCTGGCCAGTCCTCGCCCCTCTCCAGGCCTTGGCTTCCGAGACTCTGAAGGGATGGGGTGGAGGGGATTGCCCTGATCCCCTTCCAGCTCCGTGAGCACCCACGTCCCCAGACGCCAGCCCCCGAGGCCAGCGGCTTCATCCTCTACTGTGTAAAATGGAAATCGAGGCTTCATCACAAAAACAAAAGGAAAAGGAAGAAGCACCCCAGAGCCCTGCCCTGGGGACACTGTCTGCCCAGCTCCCAGGGCCGCAGAGGCAGCCCAAGGCAGAGCAGTCAAGGTCTCTGGGGACTGGGAGGCAGGTGGGGAGTGGGTGGGAGCCTGGAGACCCCCGCAGGGTCTCGGGTTCCATGAGCACCACAGATACGGCGCCCGCCCTGGGCAGCCCCAGAGAGGTGCGCAGCTGGACAGGCCGACCGGGCGAGGCCACCAGGGGGCAGCACCCGTGTGGCCGCATCATACTCACGGGGCCGCTGCTGGACAGGGTTGTGGCCAGTGAGGTCGTGCACGATGCAGTTGTCCTCAGGGTCCGGCGGCACGGCCATCGTGTGCTGCAGACGAGCCAAGACCCGTGAGCCGAGCCTGGGGGCATGGGGGCGCCAGCCGCACCGCTCAGTCCGCACCCCTCACCTGCGTGGCCTCCTCCTCCTTGGGGGCTGGAGCCCTGGCCTGGCCCTGGGGCCGCTGGTCCACCTCGGTCAGCTCCACCTCCAGTTCCATGTCGCCCCCGGCCGCCTCCTTCCCCTGTGGAGGCCGGAGGGGAGAGCTCAGCACCCCCATCCCGGCCTGAGGGGTGCGGGGACACAGGGCACCGGCCTGGGCACTGACCCGGTCCGCGGGCCGGCGCGCTTGGAGCTTCAGGAGCGAGGTCACGGTGTAGCAGAGAAGCAGCAGGATGCCGGGGCTCACGTAGACGGGCCAGTCGTGGCTGGTGTTGAGGACCAGCACGTTGGGGCTGGAGCAGTTGGGGGGTGGCACGAAGTCCTTGAGCCCGAACACCCTGCCCACAGAAGGTGCGTTACTGACTGCGGCGAGGAAGTTCACGGGTGCGAGGCGGGCAGGGCCAGGGCCCCGTGGGCGAGCCCTCACCTGGCCCAGATGCTGGCAGGCGGGAGCATGGACTGGGCGAGGGGCGTCTGGTAGCAGTAGAGGCAAAGGAGATGGCCGGCGCCAAAGCAGCCCACCGTGACGCAGAGTGCACTGAAGCCCAGGGGGCTGATGGGAAAGTGGCAGGCCCACCAGGTGCAGATGGTCAGGAACAGCAGGAAGTAGACGCTGGAGAAAGCTGACGGGTGGGCGATGCCTGCAGGCCAGGCAAAGGCGCACAGGGTCACGCCCGGCCTGGGCAGCCTGACCGCCGTCTCGCTGCTCAGTGGGGAGCTGGGCTGCCGAGACCCCTGCCGGTGTGACCGCCAGCGGTGGGGTCCCAGCTCCCTGCCCAGGGGGTACCTGCCAGCGCGAGGAGCACTATGGCCAGAGTCCGCCCAGCGGCCACCAGCAGCCAGTGCGCTGTGATCCGGAACCGGGCGGCCAGCCAAGATCTCCGCTTGTGGGGCAGTGCAGGGGCTTCCTGCAGCCCCACCAGGGAGCCGGTGTCCACGCCCCCGTCATCATGGTCCTGCCGAGGTCACGGGGCGGGCGCAAGTCAGGTGCGTGTGGAGGGGCCACCCCTGCAGCCCCACACCCGCCCCTCCCCACACCCGCCGCGGGCCCTCCGAGGACACGGGGCCGCCAGCCTGAGCGTGGCCGCGTGCTGCCCTCCAGGCCCAGCTCCGCCCACCGTCTTCCCACCGCCTCGCTCGGGTTCACAGCCCGGGAGGGCGCCCACTGCGGCAGCAAGACACGCTCCTGCCAAGGCTTGGCGCTCAGATGACCGACCCGCGCAGGCTGACTTCACGGTGCTCTGGAGCCCCTCAAGGGCCTCTTCACTCCCCACCCCCACCAGGGGACCCCGAGGACAGGGCAGGCCCACAGGTTCCTGCATCTGTCCCCGGTGCCCTTGGCCTGAGAGGGCCCGCGTGGGGATTTTTAGGGAAAAGAAAAGCAGTGCACAGCACAGCCACGTGTGCATCTCACTCTACAGCTACAGGGCACCTCTACACCCTAGCCTTGGCCCCACGGCACCTTCCTCGTCAGTACAGCGACGGAGGCTCGGAGGGGACCCCAAATCACACAGCCAGGGAGGACAGCGCCCAGGGTGCAGCCTCCTCCTGCTCTGCTGCCTAGTGGGGCCTCTGGAGTGAGACGCACACCTGGGCGGCCCTTCTCGGCCTCAACTGCCTGTGGGGCACAGAGACCACCAGGGCCCGCTGCCCTGGTCCCACCTCAGGGTTTCCCAGAACAGAGCAGCTTCCTGGAAGCAGGGAGGCCCGGGGGAGGCAGAAAGAACACAGACTCTTTGTCAGACGCCAGCTGTAACGTGGGCGCCGTGCCTATGCCCTGCCCCGTGGCGGAGGCGGCCCTTGGTGTCCAGGCTGACAGCACGGGCTCAGGGGCCCGGCGCCCCGGTCAGTCACACACCGGCTTCGAGTCGGGGGTTAGGGGTCTTGCCTGTGCAGCCTTGGTGAGCCCCCTAACCGCTCTCAGTCTGTTTTCTGCCTGTCAAATGAGGGTGGGGCACGGGGCAGGCCCCAGGGAGGTGCCACTGAGCCGTGCCTGGAAGGAGGGGAGGGGACAGGCCAGGGCAGAGGCCCAGCCCTGGGGTCAGAGCAGTACCCAGGGTCCCCCCATGATGCACCAGGACGGGGGGATAGGGGGACAGCTGCTGGAAGGCACTACAGCCAGGCCCGAGCTCAACCCTGCCCACAGCCTGGCCCCGGCCCTGGGAAAGCGGCCGTGGAAAATGAGCGTTTCTGGGAGTGGGAAGAACAGAGGCAGCTCCTGGGCAGAAGGACAGCTGCTGGGGGCCGCCCGCATGGTCCAGCCCACCCAGGCCCGGCTCCAGCCCCGCCTCGGCTGGCCCCCCGGGACGCACCTCCCACCGCAGCCCCAATGACCCCCTCAGGGCAGGCACGGACCCACGTGTGCCAAGTCAGGACGGGCGCGTGTACACAGATCGTGTGCAGCCGCGTGTGCCGCGGCCCTGCCAGGTGGCAGCATCCACACAGGGGCGCTGGGGCTGCTTCTGGCCTTGAACTCCGGGCGCCTGTGATGGGCCCCCGTGGCCTTGCTCTGAGGTCTGTCTACACCAGCCGCCCCGGGGCCGGAGTTCAGCCCCCAGGGGCTGCCAGGACAGCCCTGTGCTCCGAGGGGTGATGGGCAGCGTAGGCTGGGGAGCTGGCCCCTCCCGCCCGCCCCAGGAGTGGGGAACAAGCCAGCCCCTTCCCGGTGAAGCTGTTCTGGGAAGCCCCGGCTCTGCTAATGAGGAAAACAGAGGCCTCCCTGGCCCCTGCGCCCGCCGGTGCCCATGCACCGGGGAGATGGAGGGGGACGGCCAAGTCAGGGAGCCACCCCGAGGGCAGGCAGCAGGGCGGTCCCAGCCCCACTTGACCCCCACAAGTGCCTGGAAAAGCCACTCTACCTCCAGGCCCCCGTCTCCCCCTCTGAAATGCGGGTGCCAGCCTTGCCCTGCAGGACTCGGGGGACGGGCAGGTCAGCTGTAGGCTGAGCCCCACCTCAACCTGCGGTAGGAAGTCCCCTTCTCCCCGGGGCTGAGAGCGTCGCCTGTGGCCCCCCACGGCCTCCCGGGCAGGGACCCGGATGGCCACAGACCTGGCCCAGCCCTGGAGACCAGGTCCTACTCGACAGAGGCTGAGGCCAAGTGTGAGGGGCCCAGACTGGGCTCGAGACCACAGCCCTCGTGCAGGGACAGGAGAGGACACGGAGGGTAGAGCCCAGGGGGACCCCGAGGACTCTGGCAGAGGGCCCTGCTTCAGGCCTCTGAACCGACACAGCCCCTGCCTTGACACACACAGCCCACCGATGGCCCCACCGTGGGCACGGCTGCTCTGACATCGTCTGTCCCTCTGTCGGTCCCTAGGTGCTCCCTGACGGCTGGCGCAGACCATCCTCCAAGAGCGCTGACTCCCCACTGCCCTGCGGCCCCGAAGACCCTCTTCCAGGGGGCAGCTTGAAAGGCGCAGGCGCTGCCTGGGGTCCCTGCACGCGCTAGGACCACGCGCTGCATCGCTAGCAACCCCCCACAGGGATGTGCACTTGACCTCCTCCGTTGCCGTGTCTCTCCATGATGGGCATATACGGACTTTTACAACTAAAACGTCCACGTTTGTAGAAAGAAAGAGATAAGAAGCGGAGGAAGAAAAAGTACAATAGTCCTCAGATGGCTGGGACACAGGCGTGCCCCCATCCCTCACCGGCTCCTGGGCACGCTGGCTCCGCCGGGCCGTCCGCGTACGGCGCCTGCACACGCCAAGGCACAGGGAGGAGGCCGCCAGGACACCCAGGTCGGGGGCCACCAGGCGGATGGCGTTGGGCACGTCCTTCAGGTCCAGCCTGTGGAGGGCAGGGAAAGCCCGTGGCCGGCTCAGGGGGGCAGGTGCCAGCAGGGGGCACCCCGGGAGCTGGAGGCCCAGGAAATCCCCGAGGGAGGCTGGGGGACTCACCTCGTGACCCCAATGTGTCGGGAGACGGTGTCCCAGGTGCTGCCTGCAGAGAGAGGCACGGGGGAACCGGGTCAGGCGGGCGGGTGCTGAGAAACCCCTTCCGTGTTGCCAGGAGGGCCACGGAACCCCTGGTGTCCGGGGGTGCTTGAGAACGCTGCCTCCCCCGGTAGGGTAACTGAGGCCCAGCCGGGGTAAGCTGGGCAGACCAAGGCCCATTACTTCTGCCTGGCAGAATGGGTTTCATGGCTCAGCCAGGCGCTGTGTGGCCCGGGAGGCTGGGCCGGGCTCTCGGACCCATCGGCCGAGGCCGGCTGCTCCTTGGGGGCCCGAGTGGGGAGGGCTGGTCTAAGAGCCGCCAGGACCAGCGGGCCCTCGAGGCACCTGACTTCTCTCCAGTTTCTAAACTGCAGGAGAGGCACGATCTTCACGGAATGAAAATGGGAGGCGGGGTGGGACATCCTGCCCGCCACGAGCCACTAGGACGTGGAGGTGGGAGACCCCACCGGGCAGTGGGGAGGGGAGCCCAGGGTTCCGTCGTCTGAACACTGGGGCGCTAGTGTCAGTGGAGGTGGGAGGGCTGGGCGCCGGCTGGGGACTCCATCCTCGGGGTGAAAGGGCGCAGGACACTGGGCGGGCGGCACACCAGGGCCCAGGCCCTCGGCCCAGTCTCTCTGCCCCAGAGGGCTCAGGAGGGAGATGCGAGACGGAGGGGCCCGAGAAGACCGGGGCTGCCCGGACACAGTGCTCTGGGACCAGCACTGGGCTGGGGCTCAGCCCAGCCCCACGGCCACCTATTACCGGGGCACTTAAAGCTGGGCCATTTGGGCTGGATGTAAATCGTGGCTGGGCACTCAGAGGCGGCCCCTGAGGCTGAGCTGACCTTTCCGAGGAGCCTGAGGCTCCCCCACCCTCCCCAGGCTCTCCAGTCCCTCAGGAGGCCATCGGCTCTCCCCCGGGCCTGCTGCCCCCAGGCACCCCCTTCCCGGCCCTTCGTGACTCACAGCTCGGCCCCAGAAGCTGGTCCAGGTGGGGCACGGTGTGCAGGCATATCTGGAAGGTGAGGTGGGCTGCCAGGAAGAGGAGGCTGAAACCCAGCAGGGCTCGCAGGAGGCGGCCGGTGTGACCTGGAGGCAGAGACGGGAGCGGTGGGGCCGGCATGCAGCCAGGCCTGGAGCGGGGGGATGCGGAGGGAGCAGACCGCTCAAGGCCACTCAGCCCTGGCTACCAGCCGAGCCAGGCTGTGCGCACCAGCCCGAGACACGCACCCAGCACGGACCCAGGGTCTTATGGGGCCGTGAGAAGCGAGCTCATGCAGCACACCCCTCCTACACCAGCCCACTGACAGCTCACCCAGCCCCGTGGTCCAGCACTATCACGACCCCAATTTACAGACGGGAATGGACACAGAGAGGTGAAGTGACTTGCCCACAGTCGCACAGCAAGCCCATCCTGCCTGCGCTTGGTCTTGTCCCCTTCCTGGGGCGTGGAGCAGTGGGGGCAGAGCCAGTGCAGGAAGGAAAAGCCCCCTCGGGCTGGGGGGCCACCTCCAGTTTTGCTCATGTATCCCGGAAACATCTGTGTTGCTGCCTGGCCCTGGCAGCGGGGTGCTGCTTCATGCCCAGTGCAGGCTGAGAGCGTGCACCGTCCAGGGAAGGCCCCGCCCAGCACTCAACCACACCGCCTATCGAACCTGGGATGCTCTCCTGCCCATAGCAAAGCCTCAGGCTCCGAGAGGCGGCTGTACCCTGGGAATTCACACGATGAGTTGATGTATGGGAGGAGGAATGAATGGATGGATGGACGAAGGGATGAGGGGATGGATGGGGAACAAATGGATGGGAGGATAAATGGGTGGATGGGAGGATGAAGGATGGATGGATAGATGGGAGAAAGGATGGATAAATGGATGAGAGGATGTATGACGTGGGATAGATGGGGGAATGGATGGGAGATATAGATGGATGGGAGGAGAGATGGATGGATGGATGGGGGATGATGGGATGGGGGATGGATGGAAGAATGGATGGAAGGAAGGAGGGATGGATGAATGGATGGATTGGAGGACAGATAAATCGAACAGATGGATGGAAGGATGGATGGATGGGAGGATGGATGGATGGGAGGAGAGATGGATGGATGGATGGAAAGAGGGATGGATGAATGGATGAGAGGATGGATGGATGGATGGATGGGAGGACAGATACATGAATGAATGGGTGGATGGGAGGACGGGAGGATGTATGGATTAGAAGATGGGTTGGATGGAGAATGAGGGGATAGAGGGATGGCTGACAGCAGTGTTGGTGAGGCCAAAGGGCAGCTCTGATTTCAGAAGGGGAGGGGTTCAAGCCAGTGTGGGGCTCCTGAATTGCCCAGGAGGGATAAAGGGCGTGGCAGGTGACCACTAGAGTCTACCACAGTGGACTCCGAGGTTTGGCCCTGAGTGCCAGAAAGAGCAAGGATCGTTGGCGGGCGCCCACGCGTGTGCGTATGTGTGCGTGCAAGGGTGCGTATGGGCGCCAGACCACACACTGCACTTGCTGGAAGTGCCGCCTGCCTCTCTCCTTGACCTGGGGTCACTCCTTCGGCCACGTGAGGCCTGCACAGCACAGGAGCGCCGCGGAAGGACGGGGCCTGCCTTCGTGGGCAGGCAACCCCACCTCTGCCGTGCAGGGCAGGGGTCACACAGAAGTCTCTCCTCCTGAAGGAGCCGGGGCTCCGCTCAGGGACTTCAGGCTCAGGCAGGAATCTGGAGAAGCAGGAAGTGGGGCTGGGGGGCTGTGGCTCCAGGAGCAGAAGAGAGGGAGGCTCGTGGCAGGTACAAGGAGCATCTGTCTGCCCCAGAGCGGGCACCGGGGTTGAGCCCCAAACCTCCCTGACGCGGCTGCTCAGTCTGCAAATGCTCCAGGGCATCTCCGCCCTCGGCACACCTGCCGCCACGAAGGCCCCACTCCCACGACCCTGTTCCGGGGCAGCCCCACCCTGGGCCCGGCTCTGCTGCTAGGGTGAGCGGCTTGCAGACCTCGCCCTCCTGAAGCGATATGCGTAAGCGGAGCTGAGGGAAGGGGCGTCCTCCGGTCGCCCGAGGCTCTGTCACACCGAGGACGGTGCAGAGGTGGGGCAGGGAGGGACAGGGTTCCCACGGCGGGGGGGCGGGGGATCAGAGTTGGAGCACGAGGCCCTGGCCGGGGGCAGCGGGGGGCCCATCTGCTCTGCCGACCCCGGGGCGCCGTCTGCTCACAGGCAGGAGGGCGCAGGTCTGGGGAGGATGGCAGAGCCTCTCATCCCCTCATCCGGCAATGACAGGGAGCCTCCCGGTGCACTGACTGCTCTGCGAGGTGAACCGGACCCGCCCACCCGGCCCACCATGTCCCAACAGCACCTGAGTTCAAGCAGAGCCGAGGGGCTCCAGGGGCAGGTGCACCCTCTCCCGCGAGCAGCCGCGGGGCTGGGTTTTGTTCTAAGGCAGGGACAGGGCCTCCCTGAGTCCCTAAACATTAATCAGGTCGCCAGGAGCTGACCCTCTCGCGTCTACCTGCAGCTCTGCTGCACCTCTGCCCTGCCCTGCGCGGGGCACGTGGCCCACGGCCGCCGCCCCATTGCCCGGCAAAGTGATGGTCCCGACCCCTCTCCGCCCTGCACGGGGAGCCGGGGTCAGGCTGACGCCCCCACGGGGATGGGGCCAGGAATCAATCGGCGCCCGTGGGCACCTTGCGCAGCCTCAGACCTTCCACCAGCTGCGGCGCAGGCGCGGGCCGGCCTCACGTTCTCCTCTCTCCTGCCCGGAAGACCCGGCAACCTCCCTGTCCCTGAAGGGCCTCTAGGGCTGGAGAGATGGACGGATGGAGGTCAGGTGGGCAAGTCTTCCCAGCGCCTCTCCCTCTGCTCCCTGACCCTTCCCCACTCTGGACTCCTGCCCTGGCCGGGAGCCTGTGCTTCCACCACTGCCAATTAGAGGAAAGCGTTCCCAGTTGCTAGTGGGCAGGAAATATTGATGGAACAAGCAGCTCTGAACCGAAAGCCCGGGAACGGGGTCCACGGAGAGGAGAGGAAGGCCTGGATGCCAGACTCTGCCCAGCAGCCCTCCCCAGGGAGCTGGGAGTTGGCGGGAAGTTGGGCCAGCCGGCTGGGGAGGGGTCTGGCCTGGGGTCCCCCGTGGCTCCCTGCTCTGCACCCGTGCTGGGGCCCCTCCCCTGAATTCTACCCACACTGCAAGATCAGGGCTCTGTACGAGTGCCCCAAGTGGGGAGAGAGGCTGAGGAGGGGGTTACCGCCAGATGCCACAGGCTGGGGAGGGGTGACCTGCCACCCTGTAGAAGGCAGAATGACACTCCTTCGGGGAAATCCATGCCCAATCCGGGGGCCCTGGGAGTGCTTCCTGACACAGCAGAGGGGAACCAATGGTGCCAATCAGCTGGACTTTCAGCAGGGAGCTGCCCCTGGCTCCCCTGGAAGGGGAGGTCCTAACTGTGGAGAGGGGGCAGGAGGGCAGAGTCAGAGTGATAGGGCGGGACTGTCACTGACAGGCCATCGCCAGCCTGGGCGATGGAGGGAGGGGCCCCGAGCCAAGAAGCTGGGAAGCAGGTGCTCCCAGAGCCTCCAGGAGGGACCAGCCCTGCGACACCTGGGCTTTCGCCCCATGAGGCCCGGGCCAGACTCCGACCTCTGGGCTGTGGGTGGGGACGTGCCGTGTGGCCGCTCAGTGTGGGGTGATCTCAGCAACCACAGGCCACGCCCGAGGCCCCAGAGCGGCCAGCAGCCCCGGGGCAGTGCGTGGGCACGCCTCCCTCCAGGGTGTCGGCCAAACCCTCGGCCCGCCGGGCAGCGGGGGTCACGCCCCGACAACTTGCTCCCTGGGTGTCTCTCTTCACCCTCCAAAACCTAACGGCCTCCCTACCCACGGGGCACAGAGCAGTCCCCAGGCACTTGTCCTCACCGAGAAGCCGGGACGATGGCAGGTCCAGAAGCACCCAGAGAGCAGCTGGTGGGAGCCCCAGCGCGAAGGGACCCCTCAGCCGTGCCCCCTTCCCATGCCACCTGCCTGCAGGCCTGCACCTCCTTTCACAGGGGCCCGTGCTCTGCTGGGCAGGGGGCAGGGAACCTCCTACGCAGGGATCCTCTCCGCTCCAGCTCCTCTCAGACGAGCCCGCGCCGTGGGCACCACCGTCCACACCGTCCTGGAGGCCCAGGCGCCCTGATGGGCCTTCCCACCCGTCTGCCTGGCGGACACAGAAGCTGCCCTCCAAGAGCTCAGAACCAGGTGGAGACCGCCGTGCGCCCAGCTACCCTGTTACCCCGACGACGAGGTGGTGGGGGGGAAGCCGAGGCCCCGCAGCATGCCGGGCGCACATGGATGGAGCCTGAGTCCACGGCGGGGCTGGGGAGCCGGCGTGGCAGCTGGACCTAAGGTTGGCCGCAGCCGCTCAGGGCAGATGGGCCGCAAGGACGGCGCTGGGACAGGGTGGGGATTGGGGGAGGGACCCGGTGGGAAGACGGCCCAGCCCACGGCCAGGAGACGCCCCAGGGGCATCCTGCATCATGGCCCCTGTGGCATGAGGTCAGAAAAGAGATTCTGAAACCAGCCAAGGGTCCTCCATGAAAAATGAAACTCAGGACCACCCATCCTTCCCTGGTGGCTCCTCAACCGCAGAGAAAGTCCACCCCTGCCCGGTTCTGCCGGGGCCCCAACGCTCCCCCAACCCCAGGCACCTGAACAAAGAGCTCCGAGACCCCGAGTCACCGCCCACCCCCCAGCAGAGCCCTGCCCGCCCTTACCTGGGATGCTGTGCCTGGAGGGGCCCGGGAACCAGGGCAGCAGTAGCAGAAACAGGAGGTAGACCAGCGAGAGCGCGTTGACGCGGAAGAGGCAGGCTGTGGAGCAAACAGGATGCGGTCAGCCCGGCTGCCGGGGGATGGGGGCAACCAGCCCCGTGCCCCCCGAGCCTCTCTGCCGTGGGTGCTGTGCGTGTCACCCCTACGAGGCTGCCACCTCCCTGCATGGGCGAGCGACCTCGCTCAATGCGTGACGTGTCACTGTTACCGGGAGCACCATGCTTGGCTTAACGACGGCTCTGCTGTGTGTTGACAAGCGTGGCCGTCATGTCTGCATGTGTCTCAGGCACCCGCCCCGCGGAGCCCCCGTCACGGGGCCAACCCTGAGGTCACGACATTCTCCCAACTTGCTTTCTTTCCTTTTGTAAGATGTTATGTTTTCAGTCAACACACAACACGGCTGATTTTGGGGTCCAGCTCTCTTAGCCTCCTCCCCCCACCTCTGCATCCCAGACAGCTGGGTGCACCCACTCGGGCCACGGCAGGGCCCCCCAGCACGTCGCCCGGGGCACGAGTCACGCATGTGTCTGCAGCCACTCCACCTCTCCCCTCACTGACTCGAGGGCGCCCCCCGCGTCTCGCGCTGCTGACCCCATCCTGATGAAGTGCAGTAGGTGCTGGGACCTCACCCGCCCCCAGGAAGTGAGGGGGTCTGGGGATGCTAGGGAGGTGCCATGTGTCCCAACTCGGGTCTCGTCACTGAGCAAGGGGGCCACTCAGCCCTTCCCGGGGACCCGAGAGGGGGCTGGGCCAGGAAAGCCCCGCTCGCTGCCCAGAGGGGACCAGCATCGCGTGGACGGCCCTGGCGAGGTCCCCAGGCTGGAGCCACCTCTGGCCACCCTGCTCCTCAATCACCACGGCCAGCAAGCGGGCCCGGGGGACCCAGCCCTGCCCACCCAGGACAGAGCAGTCGGCTGTGGGCGCCAGTGTCCACCACGGATCCGACCCCCGGCCCCTGCGGACAGCCCAGCCTCACGGCCCAGTCATCGTGATGGAGCAGAGCTGCACGGGGTAGAAGCCCACCCTGATCGGGTCTCCAAGAGGGGGTCGATATCCCACCTCCACGCTCTACCCCTCAGACCCCCAGGTATGGACCGTGAGGCCAGCAATGGCTCGACTGCCACTTAGCAGCCATCTGGACGGCCTGGGCCAAAACAAGCCGACCTGAACCCGGCCACGGACTCAGCTATGCAGACAATCTCCCCGGAGCAGGTGGCAGGGCCAGATGGGGTGTTCAGCCCCTTCCCACTGTCTCCTCAAGCCCCCCATCACCCAAGCAATGAGGAACCCCAGAGCACCACACGGCCAGTGCCGTGGTCCCGAGCTCTGGTCAGGCCGCCTTCCTTTCTGGACGCTGCCGCGCCCTCCCGCTGCCTGGAGCAGCCCTAAAGCTAAGCAGCCTCCTTCCGCACGTACACCTGCCACGGCCAACAGATCAGCTCGAAACCTAAAGCTTTTCCACAAATATACGTTTTCGAAAAAACAAACAAAAAAATCAACCTGATCTGGCCCAGGAGGCAGGAGGGAACTGCATTTACGGCAAAGGCTTGTAAAGTTCCTGTTCCCCAGAGCTGCACTTTTCAGCCTGCTGCGTTCTGCCCCTCTCCTTCCACAGTGCCAGCCAGGTGGTACCGCCCACCCAGCCATCCAGGTAACTTTCTCCTGAGGGCACATGCTGCAGTTCTCTGCCCTGAGGTACTCATGTTCTGATCCACCCGGGACACCAGAGCTGAACAAGCACACGCGCACCAGCCATGGCGTTCACTAGCCCGTGACAGGGAGGCGAACGCGGTGCGGGTCCTGGGGAGGCTCCCGGATGCCTGGCTCTGACGCTGACGCTGACGCTGACCCAGGATGCGGAGACGGAACTAGTGCTTCCCAGATGAGGGTTTCAGTCCGGGAAGATGCAAAGTTCCAGAGGTGGTGGTGACGGTTGCACCATACCGAGAGTGTACTTAATGCCACTGAACCATACACTTAAAAATGGTTAAAGGGGCTTCCCTGGTGGCGCAGTGGTCGAGAGTCCGCCTGCCGATGCAGGGGACACGGGTCCGTGCCCCGGTCTGGGAGGATCCCACATGCCGGGGAGCGGCTGGGCCCGTGAGCCATGGCCGCTGAGCCTGCGCG